TGGGTGTCCAGCAGACAGTTGATTATAAAATGATGTTACTAACAAGGAAAACTCCTTCCCATTTCATGCTGTCAGCAGTGGCACCACTGAAGAGAAATGTCACAAGGCCTGAGAAAGAAAGAAAATAATTTCTTTACACAAGAAAGGTGAAGGCTACAAGAATATCAGCAAAGCTTTACTTATTAGTCAGAATATTGTAGCAAAAGTGATACAAAGATGGAACTGCAACCATCTCACAGAGACGTTCAGACAGAAGTTAACGGAAGCCTGCCTAGACTTTCCGAGGACCCATTCTGAAAAAAAGACTGTTGGGACTCGACTCTGGAGTGATGGGACCAAGATGAATGTTTTTGGAAGTGATGGCTTCAAAACTGTGTGGCGTCGCAAAGGTGAGGAGTATAAAGAAAAGTGCATGGTGCCTACAGTGAAACATTGTGGTGGCAGTGTCCATCTGTGGGGCTGCATGAGTGCTGTTGGTGTCGGGGAGCTGTATTTCATTGATGGTATCATGAATTCACAGATGTACTGCTCTATATTTAAAGAGAAGATGCTACCATTGTTCTGTGCCCCTGGTCATCATGCACTTTTCCAACATGACAATGATTCAAAAGGCACATCTAAGGCCACTGTTGCATTTCTGAAGAACAGGGTGAAAGTGATTCAGTGGCCAGTTATGTCTCCTGATCTGAACCCAATCAAACATCTATGGGGAATTCTGAAGAGACTAGTTGAGCATCGCTCGCCATCCAGCATCCAGGCTCTAGAAGAGATCGTCCTTGAAGAATGGAAAAAGATAGATGTTGCAATCTGTCGCCACCTTGTTCATTCCATGCCTAGAAGACTTGGTGCTGTCCTTAGAAATCATGAAGGTCATATAAAACTTTAGATGTAGTAGTTTTTGTTGTGGGGTGTATTCATTTTTGCATCAACTAATTTGAGTAAAACTGAAGATTACATTAACCTTACTTTCATGTGCCATTCAGTGCCGCCAATCTGTGTAATATATGAGTGCTTTTAAGTGTCCATCAATGATGCCTGTCAGTAACCATCGCTGCAGCCTCCTTAGAACACATCAGTGAAGGAGGAAAAATTACCTAGTTACAAAATTTTATAACGGAAACAAAGTAATTTTTTTTTTTTTTTTTCAAAATGTTTTTTTTTTTTTTTTTTTAGTTTTTGTTTAGTAAAAAAAAATAAAAAATGCTTTGATTAAATGCCACCAAAAGAAAGCTCTATCTGTCGCAAAAAAAATAAACATTTTGTTTGGGTACAGTGTTGCATGACTGCTCAATTGCCATTCAAAGTGTGACAGCGCTGAAAGATGAAAATTGGCCTGGGCAGGAAGGTGGTAAAAGTGCCCAGTAGGCAAGTGGTTAAAGAAACCCAGAAAGAAAACAAATCCAGATGAAAGGCCCCTACAGTAGGACTCTTCTCCAACAGCCCATCTTTCCTATTTTCCCTCCAGTCTTCTTATAGTGAATGCAGGGTCAAGGGTTTGATAACACTTTATCTGGTCTCCCACAGTACACAGAACATGGAAATGCAGTTTTTTTAGTAAATATAAACTGCTAAATACCTATTCTCATCAAAAGTTGGAGCAGTCTTGTGGCTTCTATCAGTGTCTAGCCCAGCACTAGCTAAAGCTTGTAGGAGTTTTCTTTAGCCTCTATGAGGATGCAAAACCCTTGACCTCTGTCTGACCCGTGCTGATTGGCCCTGTGCTGATCACATTCACTCTCCCAAGAACAAAAAAAAAAAAACCTCTAGCAATACACACCAAACTGAGCATGTGCAGAAGGGATACGGGTTCAGTCTGTTTATCAGGAGATAAGAGGTGGACGCTTGAAAAGGGGGAGGAACAGAGAAGAAAGGATTTTTACATAATGCGGAGGATTAACCCCCTAGGTTCCACAGTGAGTATAACAAGCATGCTTTACTACATACACAGGCTGATCTTACTGTTGTGGGTTTAAGACTGTTTGTCAGTCAACACTCTTAGAGCTGATTCACACATGTGCAGTGCGGATAGAAGCTCAGGTTTCACAGCTAATTGATACAGTAGTTGTTCACATCCGGTTCAGGGACAGGATTAGCTCAGGATTTTATCTTGCTCACACATATGCGGTTTAGAAACGGTTCCCATAGAAGTCAATAGTCTGTAATCCGCACCTGAACCGGCTCTCCCTGCTCAGAGATCGGACATGACTATTTTTAAAACCGCACTGAATTCGCACTGCCAGTGCAGCGGATGTATGTGAACAGGCACCGTAGGAAGCAGTGTATTTTCACATGTCATGCAGATTGGATGCAGTTTAAACCTCATCCAATCCGCATGTATGTGAATGGGCACCTAGGCAGCCCATAGATTATACAGTTTTCTTTCCTTCTCTACCATGGGTGAAAGGAAAGAAATTTGCTTGATTACCCCATCAACACAGTCAGTATTGATGTAGAAATCCCTCCCGCAGCTCTATTGTGATCTGCCAGTGGGGAGCCTTCTCTGCTGGCAGAACTTAATGATTGGCCCAGCTTGTGCATGTGACCGCTGTGAGCATTCACAGCTAGGTACACTAGTATACAATGGATGGCATGAATGAAGCCATCCATTGTATACAACTGTCATGTGACCTGCTGTGATTGGTCACAGCAGATCACATGGAACCGGCAACAGGGCCGGAGCTCAGATCTGTCATCGGCCGTGTCTGAGGTACACGGCTGGTGACAGATTGCAGCTCTGCAGGCACGCAAACTGCGCATGTGCGAAAGGACGCCATATGGCGTCCACCTGGAAAGGTGAGGGTTTTTGCCGGCCGCCATTCGGCCATAGGCCGGACGGGAACCAGATAAACATGCATGTATACCAGGGATGTACTAAATGTTTCATTTACATGCAAGCATGTCTCAACATATGCTTTAAACAAGCCAAAGGCCAGAATCACATTTAAACTATTTTCACTAGTGATTCCTGTAGTGTTGCAGTTATCAAAGGAAAGAGCCACACTACTTGATGAAAAACACAAAAATCTGCAAAAAAAACCACAATGATCACTGCTGGCGGCTAAAGCCGTACAACCAGCCTGCCCATATATGGATGAAATCCCGGCCAGTCCCTGCTGAACCAGCCAAGATTTGATCCATCTATGGCCAGCTTTAGGCGTACCAGATTTTTGTGTTTTTCATCAAGTAGTGTGGCTCTTTCCTTTGATAACTGCGACACTACAGGAATCACTAGTGAAAATAGTTTAAATGTGATTCTGGCCTTTTGACTTGTTTAAAGCATATGTTGAGACATGCTTGCATGTAAATGAAACATTTAGTACATCCCTGGTATATATGCATGTTTATCCGGTTCCCGCCCAGCCTATGGCCGAAGGGCAGCCGGCAAAAACCCTCACCTTTCGGGGTGGACGCCATATGGCGTCTTTTCGCACATGCGCAGTGTGCGCGTCTGCAGAGCCGCGTAGCGGCGCGATCTGTCACCGGCCGTGTACCTCAAACACGGCCGATGACAGATCTGAGTACCGGCCCTGTTGCTGGTACCATGTGATCTGCTGTGACCAATCACAGCAGGTCATATGACAGTTGTATACAATGGATGGCTTCATTCATGCCATCCATTGTATACTAGTGTGCCTAGCTGCGAATCATGTGATTAGCCGTGGCCAAATCACAGCTAGGCACAAAAAAACCCCTGAATGAATCGATGTCATTCAGGTAAATGCTTGCTTATAGCAAAGCAGTTTTTTGCTATAAGCAAATTGTGTAAAAAAAAAAAAAATACTGATCACTTCCCCAAAGTAGTACAATGTTACTATGGTAACATTGTACTACTTTGGTCATAGTGATATATGAAAAGACAATCTTAAAAAAAAAAAAGAAAAAATTTAATAAAAAAAAAAAATTATATGTATTTTTTTTTTTTTCATACTGTCACCAGTCAGTGTACCCGATCACCGCCATGCCAGTTATATGATGACACTGTACTGCACTGATGACATATGTAAAAATAAAATAGTGAAAATAATTTTTTTCATTTTTTTTTTTCATTTTCCGAAAAATTATGACAAAAAAAATACAACCTCAAAAAACTCGCCATGCCTCTTATGAAGTATGTCGGACTGTCTGCTTTGCAAAAAGGGGTCATTTGGGGATATCTGTACTATTCTGACATTCTTGGACCTCAAAAAATTAGATTGGCTGTCAGTACTTCAGGATTGATCAATATTCAGATCTATACCATAGTTTGTGAACTCTATAACTTTCCTACAAACTAAAAAATACATCCTAATTTGGGTTATTTTCACCAAAGACATGTAGCAGAATACATTTTGGCCTAAATTTATGAAGAACAATTATTTATTTGCAAACTTTTATAACAGAAACAAAGAAAAATTTATTTATTTATTTTTTTCAAAATGTTCGGTCTTTTCTTTGTTAATTTAGCAAAAAATAAAAACCCCAGCGGTGATTAAATACCACCAAAAGAAAGCTCTAGTTGTGTGAAGAAATTGATAAAATTTGAGTTTTGGTACAATGTTGTATGACCGCGCAATTGTCATTCAAAGTGTGAGAGCGCTGAAAAATGGCCTGGGCAGGAAGGGGGTAAAAGTGCCCTGTATTGAAGCAGTTATTATGAATGATTACTTTAAAATCCAGAATGTACAGAAAAATTATTTTTGTGTGCTAGAAATGTGTGTTCCAGCCATTCTCTTTTAAATAACAGAGATATGAATACCAAGCCTGTGGTGTCAGCCCTGTCTACCTCATTCTGAAAGCTTACAAAGAAGGTAGATCTCTCCTCACCTCCAGAACCCCTCCTTGTGTTCAGGCCAAGAACACAGAAGGTGATCAGCTCACAAGATTTCTGAAAAAATGATATTCAGCTGACCAAAAAGGGGCAAGCTAGAGAAGTTCATAGTTTGGGTTTAAAAATACTTTAGCAAGGTCCCAGTATGCATTGTTACTGTTGCAAATGGACATGTTGCACTTTTTTTCCTTAGGCGTCTCTGCATCCTAAAAGGCATCTATCCCCATGAGCCGAAACATAAGAAAAAAGTCAATAAAGGATCCACAGCCCCTCGTACGTTTTACCTCTTGAAGGACATCAAGTTTCTGCTGCATGAGCCTATTGTGACAAAATTCAGAGAATATAAGGTGTGTTTTTTGTTTTTTTTTTGTTTTGTTTTTTTTTAACAAACACACACACACAATATCAAGTATACATTTAAGGAACTGCAACCATTTTTATACACAGTCCCTCCATTTTCAGGGGCTCAAATGTAATTGGACAAATTAATATAATCATAAATAAAATGTTCGTTTTTATTAGAATCCTTTACTGGCAATGACTGCCTGAAGTCTGGAACCCATGGACATTACCAAAGACTAGGTTTCCTCCTTTCTGATGCTTTGCCAGGCTCTAACTGCTGCTGTCTTCAGTCAATCTTTGTGGGTCTTTCTACCTTTTTTAGTTTTGCCTTCAGCAAGTGAAATGCATGCTCAATTAGATTGAGATCAGGTGATTGACTCGGCTTTTGCAGAATATTCCACTTCTTTTCCTTCAAAAGCTCCGGGGTTGCTTTTGCAGTGTGTTTTGGATCATGGTCCATCTGTACTGTGAAGCACCGTCCAATCAACTTTGCTGAATCTGGGCTGACAGTATATCTCTAAACAGTCTTCTCTTGATTGTAGACTTTGACAATGATACGCCCACCTCCTGGAGAGTGTCCTTCACTTGTCTAGATGTTATAAATGGGCTTTTCTTTACCATAGAGAGGATCCTGAGATCATCCATCACTATTGTCTTCCATGGACGTCCATGCCTTTTTATATGTTGCTGAGCTCACCAGAGCGTTCTTCTTTCCTCAGAATGTACCAAACTGTTGATTTCGCCACTCCTAATTTTGCTGTTCTCTCTGATGGATTTTTTTTCCTTTTATGAAGCCTTACAATGGCATGGACAGCTCCTTTTGAACGTATGATGTAGGTTCACGGTAGTAGATTCCAAATGCAAATACCACTCTTAGGGCTCGTCCACACTTGACTGTTTTACCAACGCTTGCCAAACGCCCCTACAGCGCTTGGCAAGCCTTGGTTCGGCGTTTGCCGAGCGTTATAAACGCTCCGCAAACACCTATAATGAAGTTTAAATGGTGTTACTGCTCCGCAAACGCCCCGCAACCATGCTGCAAACGCCAGCTGGGCGTTTGTGGAGTGGCACCATAGACTAGAATAGGAGGCTTCAACGCCTCCTGACTCGACCAGAGGCGTCCGTTTTGCCGCGATGCTGACGCTCCCGTTAGAACAGCACCATGTGCTGCAATGTACCGAATTGTCAGAGGTTTTGGGAAGCGGTAAAAAAACGTTTCACAAATGCCTCTCTGCCGCCTGCACACAACGCTAGTGTGAACGTAGCCTAAGAATCAACTCCAGACCTTTTACCTGCTTAATTGGTGAAGAAATAACGAAGGAGTAGCCCACACCTGGCCATGAAACAACTTTTGATTTAGTTGTCCAATTACTTTTGGTCTCTTGAAAAAGGGTGGATGGCTACTCTTTAAGAGCTGTAATTCCTTAACCCTTCCTCCAATTTGGATGTAAATACCCTCAAATTAAACTTAAGAGTGTTCACTTTCAGCCCATATCCATTATGTATATAACTATACCTTGAATATGTTTTGGCAAATACCTGAAAAAACTAAAATTGTGCCTGTGCCCCAATATATATGGACCTAACTGTATGTAACACATTTAAAGATCATAAAGCAAAAAAAAAGAAAAACAATATATTAAGCTTCATTTAAATATTTATTTGCTCAAATTATCTGATGTTTTTATTCCCATGCATGATAACATGTCTTTTGATCCAGACTTTAACCTGTCATTTAAGCTCTATGGTATAGTTCTAGTTGTCACACATTTTTTTTTTTTTTTTTTTTCTTTGGTGACTTTGGTTGGCCTGATATTTATTCCCGTTGCTTATAAGTGGGATGCTGCTAAGTCATTTTTTGCTATTAACCTATTGTGCCTTTGTTATATTTTATACAGTTTCTGAATAAAAATCTATTCAACCATATAAAATCAGTTTAGGAATGAAGATTACCTAATACCCCAAACATTATATATTTTCTAATATGACTAAAACAGTGGTATTTTAAGTTTTTTTTTTTTTCTGTCATGTTATACTGCAAAGGTTTGAGAAATGCGTAACTTGTTACTAACTGAGCAGTGCCAGCATTGTCACCCCCCCCAAAAAAACACAGCTATGTGGGGCTCTGCCCACCCAGCTACGTCCATTTACAGAGTTCTGTGAGTGGCAAAACTACAACTACTATCAGCCATTGCTGCTGACAGATTGTAGATCTCAGTGAACTACCAGGGCGCTGTTGAGTGCTCTAGGTAGTTCATTGTTCCTTCTTGTCAGCCAGTAACTGTCTGCCCTTACCGCATGTACAGGCAGAATGGCTACACTGACAGTCTGCAGGAATGTGAGGTTGCACCCGCAATCTGCTGATGCACATTTTTTTTTTTCTACCCACAAAAAGATGTGCATCTATTACTTTTTTCTAAAAGGTGAACCTATTCTTTAAGTACTCCAGGTTGCTACAGGTGCAGGCGTACAGATTCATGAATGTTTATGAATTGCTTTTTGGAGCTAGACCTTCCAGCACAAACTACTTTTGGGGCAACTTTTTATTTGTTTGCTGATGACCTTGCTGGTTTTATTCCCTCCTCAAATGTGCTATTTAGTAAAGCAGAGTGCATTGCAACAGGTGCCACCTACCTTGGAAGATTGAAGGGCTTTGTGCAATTAACCTCTGCCAGTAAAAGGGCTAATTATTGCAAACTGGTATGTAGCAGTAAAAGAAGTTTAACAATTTTCTAATATAGAATTATAAGAATTTTTTTTACAGTGTAGAACATTCAGCACATATAAATCTGTCGTATGTTCAGATGATATACATTACATATGTTTATCTATATTTAAGGTCTTTGTACGTCGTCTACGTAAAGCATATGGAAAACAAGAATGGGATGCAGTAGACAGAATTAGAGAGAACAAGCCAACGTATAAATTGGACCATATCATTAAAGAAAGGTAATATATTCCTGTTAATTCAACTTTTTTGCCACACTACTTCTTTAGACCATTTTATTTAAAACAATAATGCACATTGTAGCTAGAAAAGAGAAGACTGAGGTGCTCACCTTGGCTTTCTTGTACATTTCTGTAAGCATAGTAACACCTAAAGTGAATTTGTGTGTGTGTGTGTGTGTGTGTGTGTGTGTATATATATATATATATATATATATATTTATTTATTATTATTATTATTATGTATATATATATATTTTTTTTTTAAATAACAAATATGTTTTTACCTGCTCTGTGCAATTGTTTTACACAGAGTAGCCCTGGCCTTTCTTTTCTCGGGTCCCCCGTCAGTGCTTATGGCTACTCCTCTTGCCAAGTGCTTGCTATGGGGGCACTCGTGTGGGCTCTATCCCAAGCTACAGGGGCAGTGACCAGTCAGAAATAATTTTTCTTCAGTCTGTCCATTTGTGATTGCCATGTGTTAATGCCTATCATGGCTTTTTACATGCTTATTTGTATAAGCAAGCCGGTGCTCTAGAAGCCTTAGATGATGGTACACTTGTCATCCTCCAAAATACTAGCTGCCTAGCTTTCATGCAGATACTTTGAGTCTTTAAAGTCATCAACCTTAGAACAGGAGTGCTGCAATTTCTGATTTAAATTTGCTGCATACTTGCACCAAATGTATTTGGATTAAGTGAAGTCAGACAGCCAGGCAACATTTTTAGAAGAAGACCAGCAATGTCAGCTTTCATGTTTCTTTAATATCAGGTGCATTTTGATCCTTCACCCTGGAGCTTCTTACCTTAATGTTCGGAGCCTGGCAAATCCATTTCATCCCATTGCTTTACCTGGTTTTGTAGAAGCCATTACAGTTGTAAATATTCCTTAGCAAACAGATGGTGTTACAATTATGCCATTGTAGCACAATTTTAGGTAATATTTTTTTTTTCCTGGAGCTGTCAGTCTGGGACCCTTTTAAAAGCGATACTAAAGGCTTCAATCCGCGTTTGTGTCGCTTTTCAGAGAGCATTTAACAACGCCGCTCTCTGCCTATTTTAAGCACTTACATACTGGACTACCACTCCTCAACCACATGTTGTGCATGGTTGCGAGGCAGTTAGAGTACCCTTTGGGGGTCATGCTCTATGGGGGGTAGTGCCCGGCAACCATGACAGGGAGTGTAATTCCTGCTGTTGCATGTGTACTCCACCTGGCCACTACCTTCCCAGCAAAAGGGGAGTGGTTAAGGGACAGTAAAAATGTGGCTTATCCATTGTGTTTTAGGGTCACGAACTGCAAGTGTAAATGAACCTTTACACAATCGCCACAGCAGTACAACCAGTCATGGTTTCCCTGAACACCGCCACACTGGTGCCAAAGTCACCACAAGACTTTATTCATACAGGGTGTATCAGTACATACCCCATGCGAGAGCAGTGTTTTACTCGCACATGAATATTTAGGTAGTTCCATTTATGTCTATTGGGACACAGTGCCTGAACAAAATAAATCCGCTGCTACCAATGTAGCCAGCAACAGTGTTCCTGTTCACCACCACTACAGTGGCAAGGCCATCAGACCAGTGCAGCCAGCAACATTGTTTTTGTTTACTAGCCACACCAGTGCCAATTTCACCAGAGCCAGTGCAGCCATCAAACGGTGTCCCTGATCTCTGCTATATCAGTACATTGTCACCAGAGCCAGTGCAGCCAGCATCAGCATTCCTGATCCCTGCTACACCAGAGCAGTGTGGCTTCTGCCTGATGCCTGTATTGACCCTGGCCTAATTATTGGCAACTTTTCTGCCTGCTGTCTGGACTGATACTTTGCCTGTTTGACCATGTCTGCCTGCCACCTGAACTGACCCATTTGCTCTTCCCGCTGACTACATTCTTGAGAGACACCAGTCTCAGCCACCCCCTGCGGACAGCTGCACTGCTGGAACCACAGGAAATCATTTGCTCACTGTTTTTTGTTTAGCCTCCTCTACCTCCTGGTCAGTGAACATGGCATTCCTGGGGGCAGCCATGCACCAGTAGGCTAGGTTTGTTTGGCTTATTGGAATGGGGACTACTATAGGAGACACTATACACCTATTCCCTGACCATGCATACAGAAGTGACCATTACAGTACATTGATACAACTGGTTGATTTTTGTGATGCGCAAGATGCAATGTCCGGTACATAATCAGTCCAAACACTGAAAAAGTCTCACGTGTGGTATCCCCATTCTCCTGAGGAGTCGCAACGTGTTTTGGGGTATAATATGTTTTGTGTGGAAAAATATAAAACTGAAAACTTTGTGTACAAAATATATTTAATTTTCTTTCTGCATTTTCAAAAAAGTTGTGGAAAAAAAGTCCTTTTTTAAAACACTCACTGTGCCTCTTAAAAAAAAAGTTTTGAGATGTAATTCTAAGTATGCCTATGCTGCTTTTGAAATGTACCACAGTTTGTAGACTCCAAAACTTTAACACAAAGTAATATATGCTGGTTTATTTATTTAACCATTAGCCACCCGGCCTATAGCCGTTTGGCGGCGGGGCAAAAATGCTTCACCTTTCCGGGTGCACGCCATTTGGCGTGCTCCCGCACATGCGCAGTTCGCGCGGGTGCAGAGCCGCGCAGCGCCGCGATCTGACAGATCTGAGTACCGGCCCCCGTTGCTGGTACCATGTGACCTGCTGTAACCAATCACAGCAGGTCACATGACAGTTGTATACAGTGGATGGCTTCATTCATGCCATCCATTATATACTAGTGCCTAGCTGAGAATGGTCACAGCAGGTCACATGCACATGTCATGTGATTAGCTGTGGCCAAATCACAGCTAAGCACAAAAAAAAAAAAAAAGCCTGAATGAATCGATTTCATTCTTTTAAATGCTTGCTTATAGCAAAGTAATTCTTTGCTATAAACAAATTGTGTAACAAAAAAAAAAAATACTGATCACTTCCCCAAAGTAGTACAATGTTACTATGGTAACATTGTACTACTGTGGTCATAGTAAAATATATGAAAAAAAAAATCTTAAAAAAAATGTAATTAAAAATAAAAAAAATATATATATTTTTTTCATACTGTCACCAGTCAGTGTCCCTGTTCACCGCCATGCCAGTTATATGATGACGCTGTACTGCACTGGTGACAGTATGTAAAAAAAAAAAAACTGAAAATAATTTTTTTAATTTTCCGAAAAATTATGACAAAAAAAATACAACTTCAAAAAACGCGCCATGCCTCTTATAAAATACGTCGGACTGTCTACTTTGCAAAAAGGGGTCATTTGGGGGATATCTGTACTGTTCTGACATTCTTGGACCTCAAGAAATTAGATTGGCCGTCAGTACTTCAGGATTGATCAATTTTCAGATCTATACCATAGTTTGTGAACTCTATAACTTTCCTACAAACTAAAAAATACATCCTAATTTGGGTTATTTTCAAAAAGACATGTAGCAGAATACATCTTGGCCTAAATTTATGAAGAACACTTATTTATTTACAAACTTTTATAACAGAAACAAAGAAAAACGTGTTTTTTTTTTTCAAAATTTTAGCAAAAAATAAAAACCCCAGCGGCGATTAAATACCACCAAAAAAAGCTCTAGTTGTGTGAAGAAAATGATAAAATTTCAGTTTGGGTACAATGTTGTAATGTTGTATGTCCGCGCAATTGTCATTCAAAGTGTGAGAGCGCTGAAACGTGAAAAATGGCCTGGGCAGGAAGGTGTAAAATTGCCCGGTATTGAAATGGTTAACCAAAGAAATGCAGCAGAATACATTTTGGCGTAAATTTGTGAAGAAAGATTTATTTTTAAAGTTTTTTATAGCAAAAACTAATCCTTTTTTCAAAATGTTCAGTCTTTTTTCTTTTTATATAGTAATTAATAATAAAGAAAAACTAGTGGTGATTAAACACCACCAAAAGAAAGCTCTCTGTCTGAATAAAAAAAAGATATACAATTTGTTTGGATACAGTGTTGAATGACTGAATACTTGTTTTTCAAATTATGACCGTGCTGAAATATGAAAAATTGCATTGGCAGAAAGGGGGTGAATTAGTTAATTTTAACCCCTTAATGGAGTCCCTGATTTTTTTACCAGCTCTCTATTCTTCTGCATAATCAGTTCATCCTGCAGTTGGAGCCCTGTTTAAACAATATGCAATAATGAGATCCCAGCCCCTGACCCATGTCCTTCACATGGTTTGTTGTTTCCTTTCCTTGTCTTGATATTAGAGATCCATTTACTAAAGGCTTGTCCCCTGCTTCAAATTCCTCTGAATTTGATCTAAGAGTTCCCTCATCCCACAATTTATTTGCATGGTGGACTATATCTGGCTGGTGTGTGTATATCATAACAGTATTAAAATGCAATTTAGTAACCTGCATGATCTGCACAAACAAGACATTTTACTTTAATTTTTGTTTTAGGTATCCAACCTTTATTGATGCTCTCAGAGACCTAGACGATTCTCTTTCCATGTGCTTTCTATTTTCTACCTTCCGTCGGACTGGCAAATGCCATGTGCAGACAATACAGCTTTGTCGTAGGCTTTCTGTAGAATTCCTCAATTATGTAATTGCCTCCCGTTCTCTACGCAAGGTGAGTTGACAAAAAGAAAATCGCAGTCTTGTTTGGGAATTCTGTAATTCAGTCGGAAGTGCAACATTATTAATACTTAGCAATGGGTATGTTAACCTCTAAAGCTGTGTTTTGGCAGTGAAGTGCAGTATAATTGGGGGGGAATTTGCAATGTATGCAGAGTTGTCTTCATTGAACACTAGATGGCACTAATTGAATACAACCTGTTGCTGATCTGTAATGTTCAACCTGAACTTTGGGGAAGTGAGCTTCTCACACACTGAAAGGATTAATTGCTTGTTTTGTGACTAGGCAACTAGCAAAAAATAACTTTTCCTTGCTTTTATGCTTTGTTCCTCTAGCAGTAGCTGCTCACCTTTTTTGTCTACAACTTTTTTTTTTCCCCTTGTAACAGGTTAAGGGCTCGTTCACACTTGACTGTTTTACCAACTCTTGGCAAACACCGCATGTGCGGTTCAGCGGTGGTTGCTAGGCGTTTGCCAAGCGTTAAAAATGCCCTACAAACGCCTATAATGAAGTTTGAATGGTGTTGGCGGGCGTTTGCGGAGCTGCACCATGGACTAGAATAGGAGGCTTCAACGCCTCCTGACTCGACCAGAGGCGGCCATTTTGACGCGACGCTAATGCTCCCGTTAGAACAGCACCATGTGCTGCAATGTGCAGCATTGTCTGGGAAGCGGTAAAAACGCTTCCCAAACGCCTTTCTGCCGCCTGCACACAACGCTAGTGTGAACGTAGCCTGAGACTCCATGCACACTAGCGCTTTATGTAATCTGGAAAACCATTGATAATGGCGTTTTTGTGTCTGCTTGTGGTAGCGTTTAGGAGCATTAGCATTTTATTATCGTTATTACAGTACATGAAGAAAAAAAAAAAAAAAAAAAAACGTTTGATACGTTTTTATTTCTGCCGGGAGAACAAACCCAAAAGCTGTACAAAAACAAATTTATTTTTTCTACTCCAAAACGTTGAAGCTTGAAAAATGCTTCTAGCAGAAGATCCTGCATGGATTTGTAGGATAACACTATTAGCTTCTAGAAGCAAAAAAAGAATGCTCATAATATCTTCTAGGAGCTTAAAAAAACATTAGGGTGCATGAAGCTTAAGGGTTCATGCATAAGGAAATTTCCCATTGGTTTCTCACACCCTGGTGAGCCATAGGTGCCACATACAGCCTTCTGTGTTCAGGAAACACATTGAACATGCACATGCAGGTAACCGCTGATGCAAAGAAGCATCTGTGTTTACAAGAGTACAAATGTGTACAGGCTTTCACGTGCATGGCAGGCTGTACACGGCACCTGCGGCTAGCCAGGCGTGGGAAAGCACTGGGAAATGAATGCTAGCCATAAAAAAAAAAAAGCACCTATAAATCTTCATGTATATGAACCGTAGCAGAGTGGTAGAGCCATAGTCTTTGCTCTCCTTTCACGTTTGTAGAGTTTATTGTGGTCATGTTGTGCTCAGAGCCAGGAATTTAAACAAGGCAGGTACAGAATTGCACAAAACAAATTTAAAAATACATTTTTATGTTAAGCAGCAGTGGACTCATTAGCTAGCAGGCACTTCTGTGGAGTCATTAAATATAATATGTACCATTTAAAGAGGTGCAAGAACAACAAGGTCTTTAGGGGAAGCTGGTATAATGCCCAGGCAGTAGGGATGCACCAATACTCGTACTCATGCTCCTGAGACCAGAAAACCCGATACTTTGTGGTGGTAATTTGTGTCAGTACAAAAACTGCACCGCAAAGATTAGCTTGCAATTCCTGTCCAAATCGCATGCGATTTCACCACTGCTCCTGTGCAATCCCAGGCTTGTCACAGCCTTAATTCCATAGGAGTGGTGTGGGAAATCTCCCTGCAGGCATTCCATGCTAAGCAGCGAGTGGGTGTGTGTGAATGTATAATATGGAGGCAGATGCTCCATAATCTCAGTGGTAGGAGAGAAGAGAAAGGGAATTTGAAATCCCCAGATCTGTGATGCGGTTTTCACTAATCTCCTTGCAGGGATGACAGTATGGGCTAAACAACATCTGATTGGTTAGCACCATCTGTGTGACCTCTATCCGAGCTGTCAATCCCCACTGTTTTCTCCTCTCCTACCGCTGAGAATATGGAGCATCTTCTTCCATAGTGTACATCCCCACACGCCCACTCTCCACTGTGGGAAACCTCCCTGCACTGTTCCTGTTTGAACTCCGGGCTATACAGCCTGTGTTCACACAGGAGCAGTGGGGAAACCACATGCAATTTACGCAGGAATCACATTGCTGTTCTAATAGCATGCTATTTGAGGTGCAGTTTGCATCCATACATTTTTGTATTATCGCAGATTGCACCGCGATGTAATCGGTATTGGCGAATTCGGAGTATTTGAACGAAAGTATCAGTACTTTTTTTTTTTCTTTTGAGAGAGAGGTATCGGTGCATCCCTACCAGGCCGCACAGCTAAGAGAGAAAGCTGAATGTTATTACTGTGCGTAGTCTTTGTTTGCACAGCTTTGCTGCCCTGCCATTTATCATCTTATACAGAAATAATGTATGCAGTGTTTTATTTAGTTGATTAACTTATGTGACTTGTATGTTTGTTTGGGTGTCATTGGTTAGTGTTACAGACAAACATTCTTTACAGCCATGATTTATAATAGCTAAGTAAAATATTAACCTAAATAACTCTTACAGCCTCATTATCGTTTGAGCTTTCATGTACCAAGTACTAATTTCTTGGCTAGAGCTAGATCTGTTCAATGACTATGAAAGAAAATCCGCTCTGAGGATTGTTCATTACTTACACAATGGTTTAACATAAGGCTATTATTTTATGTTATCAGCTCTATCAAACTGGAGAGAAGGTGACTGTAGTGCCCTTTTAGTAGGGTTATTTGACAGTGTGCCAGATGTGGCTTGCTTAGTAGAATATTGGAATACTAGAACATGCGAAAAAAATTAGGGGCATATTTAAAAAGCAATGAATGTGACATTCACTGCAGGTCATTCCACCTTGTGCATGTGTTTTAATATTGGAGAGATTTGTTCATCTGCAGTGAATGTTTGGTTATACGATTTGGTCCTCCATATGTTTGCCAGTATTGAAACTACTGACAACTGCTTAAGAGCGCATTTACACTTCTGGTTGGGTGTGGTAAAAATAGGTTGTTGAGCCTGATTTTTGCCTCCCGAGCTCACCTGCAGTTAACATCCATCTGATCTGCATTTGATCTGCTTTAGAGGGTTTTGCACTTATATTGACTTGTATGTGAATGCAAATCCTGTTTGTGAAATCCGTTACAATTATTTCATGACCTTCAGAGTCCTAAGATCCTTAAGTGTAATAACCTATATTTACCAATGAGACGTCACTAAAGGCACACTGCTACTACTGATATTCTGTTTGATTACTGCAGTTCGTACATTGCTCCTTTTATCACTCTGTAAGCCTTGTAGCTATTCTGTAATGTGACAGATTGCCATACGAGTACAGTGTACTAATATGCATAAGTCCTTTTTTAAAGAGGAACTTCATTCCTTGTTAGCTTTGCTCCCTTCCTGGTGCTGCTATGTTTGTTACTCAAACCTTCGGGTCCCAGAATGCATCTGCACACTTGCAGTGAAGTTTCTACCCATGTGCTGACAAGGACTTCCATACCCACTGCATCGTTGTACATGCAGTGGAAACCTGCGTGTGCACAGATATGCTGCAGAGCTCTGCTGGGACCCAGAACTCTGCATCAGAATCTAGGTGGTGGGATTGAATGTCCTTCTCACCTAAAATACTCATGAAGTTGGAAAAAAAAATCCAAATGTGTGAGAGGGAGAGGGGAAGAAAGTAGGGTTAAAGTAAGAGTTTATTTACCTAGTGGGCCATCGAATCCTCAAGTTTTGTGTGTGTGTGTGTGTGTGTGTGAATTGTTTTGTCTGAGTATAGATCTATGTTTGCCCCAAGTATGTTTGAAGCCACTTACTGTTGACTGACTCCCTACCTCTGCTGAAAGTTAGTCCAAGCATCAACTGCCCTTTCAGTAAAATAGTACTTTCTAAGGTTAGTTTTGAAAGTTCCTCCCGTTAGTTTGAGGTCATGTCCCCGTGTTCTTGATCTTGGCTTCATATTGAAAATACTGCCCTCCTGAACCTTATTCACCACCTTGGTGTATTTAAAAGTTTCAGTCATGTCTCCCCTTCCCCTTCTTTCCTCCAGATCGTACATATTAAGTTCCCGAAGTCTCGCTTGATATGTTTTATCCCTTAGACTGATCACCATTTTTGCCACCCATCTCCGGACTTGTTCTATCCGTATCAATATCTTTTTGTAAGTCCAGAACTGGACACAGTATCATAAATGAGGTCTCACTAAAGATCATATAAGGCAATCAATCAGGACCTTCTTCCTGCTTTCCTCTTCTCACTGGACAGAAGCAGCAGCGGAGCCATTGTCTCCTGCTGCTGTCAATCTCAGCCAGTGAGGAATGGGCAGGGCTGAGCTCGGGAGTGAACACGCAAGTGGCTTGCTATGGAGGCACTTGGCAGGGGAAGGACTCCAGAAGAGGAGAATCTGGGGCTGCTCTGTGTAAAACCATTGCATAGCACAGGTGAGTATAATATGTTTGTTAAAGTGGAACTGCACTCAAAAGGGGAAGTTCCACTAGTATCTGTAGCTGCTGACTTTTAATATTTTTGGGGGGAGCCCGGATCTCCGCTTTAAATTTAAAAAAAAACAAAACACATCTTTAGCTTCTTAGAATCACTTTAAAATAGATTTGCTGTGCAGTAATTGCTAAGTGAAGCTTTGCTGAAAGCATGTTACTTTCTCGTCCATTGTCATCCATTGAAGGATGTAGAATGTCTTTTATCTTCAGGTTATACTGTTGCCTACACAAGGATTGAACACTGTTTAAAAAAAAAACAAAAAAAAAAAAAAAAACCAGGATAACCCATCCTACTACCTGCATGCCTCAGTTTTCTGGTAGTTTCCAAGGAGGTCAGACATCTTTTCTTTAGCCCTGCTCTGTAAAAGTCTAGCCCAGGGGTGGGCAAACTTTTTGACTTGAGGGCCGCAATGGGTTCATATATTGGACCCGGGGGCCGGACCAAGAGTAGATGAATGATGTGTATGTGTCATCCATAGTAAGTATAGTAATATTCCCCCATAGTAAGCATAGTAATTAATTCCCCATATAGTAATTCATCCCCCATATAGTAATTCATCCCCCATATAGTAATTCATCCCCCATATAGTAATTCATCCCCCATAGTAATATATCCCCCATATAGTAATTCATCCCCCCTATAGTAATTCATCCCCCCTATAGTAATTCAATTCACTTACCTTTGCTCCGTGCGTTCCTCTCGCCGTGTTCCCGCGCCGTTCCGGTCTTCAGGGCGGACTGTGAGAGGAGCCTAGCTCCCCTCACGTTCGTCACGCTGCCCCGCCTTCACACATCCTGACAGCCATCCTGACAGTATCACGCTCCACGGGCCGGATTAAAAGGTCCGCCGGGCCGTATACGGCCCGCGGGCCGTAGTTTGCCCATTGCTGGTCTAGCCTATCTTTGCTAGCACAATTTTTCTTTCTCAATTGCTCATACAAAGCTTTGCTTTTGGAGTGCCATATCCAGACCCTGCAGAACTGGACATTGCAGGGATAACCTGGAAGTGACCTTTTGGCACCAAGTTCCGTTTTAATGCATTTTCTAAACTCCATTTTGGTTAGCTGCGGAGCAGTTTCCAGGCCCAGAGCTATTGGCATTGCCTCAGCACTTTCTGTCTGTAAGGGCTCACTGCATGAGTAGGCTGGTTAGATTAAGCACTCGGAGCTATCTGATTCAGTTTCATCTCCAGCACTTAAAAAAAATCCCTTAAAAATCCCACTTTCTGCTGGTTTCCAATGCGGGAGGGGTTAATGCTGTCGGACTTGGCGCTGGTGTCATCCACTGGGTTGAGTCTTCTGGGTGTGCTCTGAACTTTTTCCAGCCCTATGCCATCAAGGAAGCATTTCCCCACTGCTGCTCCTGCTTGCAGGAAGCCACATGGAACTTTGCTCTTTTGTTTGTTGCTGCTGCCTACCTTCAGTGGCTTTGGTCATCTCCAGTTATCTGACCCTCATCTGCTGTTGGCTGTTTGGATTTATTATTGCCTGAGGCCTTGCCGCAAACCCTGAGCCTTATATTGCCTTACCACCATGCGGTTGCAACATGTCTGATTCTAGAGGGGGGGGGGGGGGGGGGGGGGGGGGGGGGGGGGGGGGTGAGTTCCTCTAACAGGTGCTCCCTTTCACGCCATACTAATGGCTGCAGGGTTGCTTGCAGTGCTCCCGTAGCATGTCTGTAATCATGTTGTCCTCTGCTCCTAGAGTCTGTTCTGTCATTTGAGTCCTCTATGGCTCTGTTGGTTGTGACTGGTTCCTCTGCCTTTTCAGCTGAGGTTTTAACTACAGCCATGCAAGACTTTATGGCCCAGAACTCTGCAGGGGAAGATATGATATATTGTTCGTACGGCCTATGTGCAGAGTCTTAATATGATTTATCCATGATCTTAGCAGCTTTTCAACCTCAGAGACTCTTTCTGAATAATTCCTGTCTTTGCCCAATGAGTTTATCCTAGAGGAGACGCGTTCCTCTGCTATTACACCTAAATTAAAAGGCCAGTTTGGCTATATTGAAGCAGTGAGCATCACCCTGAAATTGGAGGATCAACCTCTGGCCTCTACCTGTGCTCTTTACAGTCTTGGGTCCTTTTAATGCCCGTAAGGCCACAAAGACTTTCAATTGCACTTGCCATTCTTACTCTTTATGGAGATAGGAAGCCCACCTCTAAGTAGCATGTGATTTATGTGGCTTTCAGTTCTATTCTTGATAGGTTACTGGTGGCAGGAATAGCAGTCTTCCCTAATTGAAAAAAAAAAACCTAAGACACATACTGCAAAATCTTCTTTTTCTCTGTCAAAAAATGTTCCTTTTCATTTCTCCACTCCACACCATCTACATCCAGACCCTCCCAGGCTTGGCTCCCAGTCCAGCCAAAGGTTTGGGGCTCAGTCAACCAAACCTTCTGACAAGCCTTCCTTGGCATGTTGGTGCACCCCCACTTAACAGAGTGTGATGATGTAGACACTTGGACAGCTTAATAAACAACTAAATACACTATATTGCCAAAAGTATTGGGACGCCCCTCCAACAAAAAATGAATTAAACTTTAGCTTTAGGAGTAATAGGCAGCTTAAAGTAGTATTAATCCTCAGTGATTTTAGCCTAGCATATTAAGTACAATAAAATAGTCCCCAATAAGATTCATACTTCACTCTCAGTTTACTACTTTTAGTGCTGCCGTCTCCTGTTCTCTCAGTGTTGCTTCCCTGAACTTCAGTCTTCACAGGAAAGTATTAACAATGGACAGCGCAGTCTGTTACTAGAAGGGGAGGAAGGAGTAGGGGTGCTTTACCGTCCAAGGCTATAGTGCTGTATGTTTCTATTGATGTACACAGTGTAGGGAAACCACTCTAGTGCCTGCATTCAAGGATGTCTCCATGGGGTGCTGCAAGGTAAGAGCCACCCTGAAACGGGTGGCAGTTGTCATGGCACCAGATTCAACTTAGACATGGGCAAGAATTTTCAGTAAAGAATTACTGCATAAAAGCTTAAGTAAACTGAGTGCTTAAAAAACTGTCAGTTTAATATCACTTTATTGGGATGGGACTTTTGAGCTATTTACTCATTTCACCAATAAGGTTATGTGTATTGTTTATTTGCAGGCACTTGGTAATGGGTTTTCTCTTTTACTTTGGTGATCCCGGTAACACATGGTCCATTCCTATCCTACTTGAAGATGATGGCGTTTTTAAGGAAGGATTTTCTAACGTTTCATCTGGTTTCTCTAACTTTTTTTTTCAGGTCTTTTTGTCTATCAAAGGAATTTACTATCAAGCAGACATACTAGGGCAGACTGTGACGTGGATTACCCCATATGCTTTTTCACATGATGTAAGTTATTAAATAGTTTTATAAGTGGAATATTCTTTCCTTTTTTTTTTTCTTTTTTTTTGCGGCATATTTGAAAGGGGTTTTTTTTTTTTTTCAGGTATATTTCAGTCAAAAGTGCAAAGCAATCGGTTATACACACATCCTACTAAATGTTTATTGAATATAACAGCGATACATTGTTGCCTTACATGGGGTTTTAGAATACAGTGTCCAGGTGTAAAGGTGCTTAGTATAATTTCCATGTTTGCAACACCAATAAACAAGATGTAGCATGTGTAATGGGCATGTTATGTAGCAGACCCAAGGCTGAGAAAGCCATGTATTTTGTACCAGGGCTCTGAATATTGCTTACAAGGTATAATCCACCTGGATACACAAAGTAGTTGTGATGATATGTATAGTTTTACTAACACACATGTCAAAGTTGCAAAATTGTGTTCAGGCATTATCATTTGTTTTACCCTTAGTCGCCAAGGGGTGAAAATGGTACATTTTCTTAGTATAACATTTGATTTGTTTTCTGTTGTGAATAAAATATGGTTTTATGAGATGTTTAGATTTTACACAATGTCCAATATTTTTTTAGATTTTGGGTTGTATGCAGAAACAAAAATCATTGTCTTCCTACTCCATTTTTCATCCAAGCAGCTACCATGTTGTAATCTAATGGAAATTATACTAAGCGCCTTTACACATGGACGGACACTGTATTCTAAAACCCCATGTAAGGCAACAATGTATTGCTTATCCTGCTGTTATATTCAAAAAAAAAAACATTTAGTAGGAAGGGTGTACAACCGATTGCTTTGCACTTTTGACTGAAATATACCTGCAAAAAAAAAAAAAACTTTCAAATATAACAACTTAGGTTGTTTTGCTGCAGATCTGTTGCCAAATACTCACTGTGCCTTGCTTTTTCATGTGTTGAAAAAAAAAAAAAAAAAAAAAGTTTCTCCAAGGCACCATTTAAATTCAGACTTGCCTGCAAACTTTAAATGTAATTGGTGATATGTAAATGAAGGGAGACATTTTGCACAGTATAAGCATCAGGAAGTATACCCTGATTTGCATGAGAATATAGAGCAATTTAATTGTTAAGATATTTAGGTGGGTTTTTAAGTGCCCCTTTTCCCACTTACTGAAATGCAGCATAAACTTTAAAAGAAAAGGTATAGGGAGGGGTAAAAATCTCCTGACTTCCATGGTGCTCCATCCTTCTGCTGATGAGATTCCAGGGAATAAGTAGTTCTCCAGATCTCATGAGAAAGTCACTTGGAATGTCTTCTCAGCATGATTTGGAGTACTTGCCATTCCCTGGGATTCTGGTGCAGAAGGATAACATTACCCTTGCCTAGGTGCTGCAGATGGAAGCAAAGGGAAACGTAATTATATTAGTTTCACTAAACTCAAAAAAATACATTAAAAAAAAAAAAAAAACCTTTCCATATAATTACTATAACCAAATTCCAATCCATGTGTGGTCACTGTGTTTGATCAGTTGATTGACTTCTGTTCACCCTGTTGGTATTTTCTCACTCAATCAGCAGATCCGAAAAGCACCAGTCAGACCTCTCTAGTAGTCGAGATTGCAGGCTATAAAACTGCAGCCCTGATCTCTGTAGTCTGACAGCAGAGGATTCTCCCCACCATTGGAATACAAAGACACTTCAAATGTGTATATGGGGGGTTGGGTCAGTTTTTTTTTTTTTTTTTTTTTTTTTTTTGTGTGTGTGTGTTTTTTTGGGGGCGGTTTTTATGAGTGAATGGGAAAGAAAAAACTGACTCCTGTATGGCAGCATAAGAACTTCAAACACTAGTATTTACATGATTGTGTCATCTCTGAGCCAAGATTTTTAGTTCAGAAAGTAGATATTTACCCTAAATTATTTTATTATTATACAGGATTTATATAGCGTCAACAACAGTATGCTCAGTGCTTTACAATATAACGGGAGACAATACAGTTCAATACAAGAGGGCCCTGCTCCTTGGAGTTACAATCTAAGAGGGAGGGGCTAGTGGTACAAAAGGTAATAACTGTGGGGGATGGACTGGTAGGAGGAATAGAAGATCCATTATTAGCTGAGCGCAGGATAGGCTTCTTGAAGAGAGAGGTTTTCAGAGATTGCCTTAAAGTGAGCAGAGTAGGCGATAGTCTGATAAATTGGGGTAGAGAGTTCCAGAGGATGGGGGAAGCTCTGGAGAAGTCCTGGAGATGAGCATGGGAGGAGGAGGCTAGGGAGCAGGAGGCCATGCGAGGAGCAGAGAGTACGGTTTGGGTGATATTTGGAAACAAGTTTGGTGATGTAATTTGGGGCAGAGTTATAAATGGCTTTTAATTGTTAATGTTTTGAATTTTATCTGTTGCAATGGGAAGCCAGTGGAGGGATTGGCAGAGAGGGGTGGCAGATATTAGAACGGTTAGTAAGGTGTATGAGTCTGGCAGCAGCATTCATGGTAGACTGAAGTGGGGATAGCCTGGCCTGCGATGAGGGAGGGAGTTACAATAGTCAAGGCGAGAGATAACCAGGGAGTGATTAAGTTCCTTTGTAGTTTCAGAGGTTAAGAACAGGCATATCTTGAAGATGTTGTGGAGGTGAAATCTACAAGATTTGGACAGTGATTGGATTTGGGGCTGAAAGGACAGATGGGAGTCTAGGATTACACCTAGTACCCTGGCATGAGGGGAGGGGCTGATGGTTGTATTATTAATCTTGATGGAGAAGTCAGGGGAGGGGGGCAAGGGCTGGAGGGAATAGTATGTGCTCAGTTTTGGAAAGATTGAATTTCAGGAAGTGGAGTGACATCCATGCCGATATGTCACTTAGTAGGTTAGTAATGCGAGAGGAGACTGAAGGTGTGAAGTGAGTAGAAAGATAGATTTGTGTATCATCAGCACAGAGATGGTATTTAAAGCCATGGGAGTTTATCAAGTAACCAAAGGAGGAGGTGTAGATGGAGAAGAGAAGGGGTCCAAGGACAGAACCTTGAGGGACCCCTACAGAAAGAGGTAGGAGGAGAACCAAGAGAGAGCAGAGTCTCGAAGGGCAAGAGAGTGGAGTTTTTTTTTTTTTTTTTTGAGGAGGGGATGGTCAACAGTAACAAAAGCCGCAGAGAGGTCAAGTAGTAAGAGTATGGAGTAGTGGCCATTGGTTTTAGCTGTTAGTAGATCATTAGTGAGTTTTAGTTGGGCAATTTCTGTGGAGTGTATTGAGCGAAAGCCAGACTGTAGAGGGTCAAGAAGGTTGTGGTCAGTGAGGTAGGGAACTCGGGTGATTGTAGACCAAGCGTTCTAAGAGTTTAGAGGTAAATGGGAGCAGGGAGATGGGTCTTAACTTGTTCAGGTTGGTGGGGTCCAGGGAGGGCTTTTTAAGTATGTGAGTGATGTGCTCATGCTTTAGAGGGGTGGGGAAGGCACCATTAGAGAAGGAGAGATTGAAGATGTGAGGGAGCATAGGATAGAAGAAGGGGGTGACCGTAGTAGTTGTGAGGGCACAGGATCCAGGGGCAGGAAGTGAGACGGGTTTCTGAGAAAACCTTAGTGACCTCTTTGGTAGTAGCAAGGTCAAAAGAGAAAAGTGTTGAGAGAAAAAAATTTCAGAGGGATTACTGTGATCTCTGTGAGAAGAAAATTTGCAAATATTGCTAAGAATGTATACCCTTTACATGAAAAAAACCTGTGTCATACTAGGTCTACTGTAAAGTATGTTTGGTCAAAAACCACAGTAACAGGCTGCTCCTAGCACCATGCCATAAAACAATTATCTATATGTTGTCTTGGTTGTGATGTACGGATCACTTATTAATCGCTGTCAGATACTTTAGCTATGGACATAGGTCATGTTCCTGTTAACACCTGATGTTGCCTCACATAATCTGTAAAGTACTAAAACATTTTAATGCTGCTTTTAGTGTGTTCATAGCATTTGTGTTTAGAGCACTATAACTACTCTAAATGTAATTTATGAGCTACCTTTTGATTACTTTAATTAGATCAGATTAAAGCCATAAACCGGTTTATTGCATTTACAATTTGTATTTTATTTCCTTTGCTTTAATAAATAGTAGATGTCGTAGTAAATGCAGTTCTAGCCCTTACATCAGTCTTTCATAAGTAATACAGAAGATTTCAGCACTTTTTAAGTAAAGTGATATTATTAGTCATAATTTTTTTCAGGGACATAAACAAAAATAATGTTGAATTTATATCGCCTGACACCCAGGGCATGTCGTTCCGAGCGCCGGGCAGGTAGTTTTTTTTTTTTTTTTTTTACCTTTAGCCCTGCTGCGGGCAAGCAGCAGGGCTCATCTGTCAGGTGAAAGCATTCGAACGGCAGCTCTGCCACTCGTTTTGCTTTCAAAGAGCCTACAGTGCCAGCATCCTGTATACCTGGTATATCTAAGAGTATTTTTATAGATTTTGATCTTACCATCATAATGTAGAATACTTTAAAGATAAATCATCTGCTTTGTAAATGGTGTTATTGACCAGACACCCCCAGGATCACTGATATGCTTCTGAAATGTAACTTAAAGTGCGTTCACAGCTATAATAGATCTCTTTAATCCTGTTACTTTTGTAGTAATGCCTCAGTCTGGTTGTGTATTAGCTCATGCAACCCCTGGCTTATCTTCATTCAGACTGGAACAGAAAATGGCAGTTTGTTTAGTTTCCTGGGTTGAGGTGGCATTCAGGCGCAAGGCAAGTAAAAAGCACCCCCTCCCTCCTCAGAGGAGGATTCTGGGCCGGAGTTGGCTCTGCCATCGTGGGTTTGGCTTTCCCAGTGTGCTCAGAAGAAGCGGGCTCTGATCCCTCTGACAATGAGGAGTCCTCAGTGGCCATTGTGGCGCATTAAAAAGGCACTGGTGGCCACGCTCATTACCACGGTGCAGAACACCATTAAAGCTTGAGGCTCCTTCTGGTGCTACTGAGGAAGTGCATGTCTCTTTTCAGTCTCACAAGCCAGTCCGCACTGCTAAAGTTTTTCCTTACCCACCCTATTTTGATCAGTTAAATTACAAGGATTGGGAATGCCCGCAGCAATCTTTTTTGGTCCCGAGGCATTTTTCTGTGCATTACCCATTTCAGTAGTCCCTTCTGAAGAAGTGATGCTCTCCTATCGTAGATCCTCCTCCCCCCATCTCTAGGTTGAACAAGGCGACCATGATTCCAGTGGAGGGGTCTCCTTCCTTCAAGGATCCCGCAGACAGGAAGGTGGAGTCTGCTCTGTTTACGATGGCAGGCTTGGCCCTTTGCCCAGTGTTAGCCACAGCTCTTGTGTCTCAGACACTTACTGAGTGGACTAAGCTCTTGCACCACAATTTGGGTTATTAGCAGGTACCCCTGATCTATGTGGAAATGGCGGACCAGCTGGTAATAGGCCTCAGATATGTTTGTGATGCTGCCCTGGATGCGGCCCCTCTGCTCTCAAAGTTGTCCGTCTCGGCTGTAGTTCTTTGGCGGGTACTTTGGCTGAAGTGCTGGTTGGCGGACCAAACGTCTGAAAAAGCCTGGCCAATTTACTCTTCCAGGGCTAGCATCTATCTGGAGCCACACCACAAGCAGGGCCCCTCCTTTGGGCTCACATACAACTTTTTTCGTCTGCCGGGATCTGCGGACAAAGGTTCCCAGCCCACCAAGGCTCCTGGCTTCGCAAGCCTTTCAGATCTGCAGACAAGCCCTCTTCAGCATGAAGGTCTGCCCCCATCTGTTGGTGGGGGGTCACCTTCGGTGGTCTGTGGACCTCCCTACTTTCCGACGCCTGGGTCCATGAACTGATTTTGTCTGGCTACAAAATAGAGTTTCTGTTCTTCCCAAAATCCATGTTGCTCCTTACCCAGCACTTGAAATACTTGGGGCTGATCCTCAACTCGGCACAGGCGAAGGTGTTCCTCTCACTGATCAAGCTTTGGACTCTCCAGACTGCAGTGCGGTTGCTGCTGTCCTTGAGGTGATCGTCTTCTGCATGAGGGTGCTTGGTCTCATGGTGTCCACCTTTTTGAGGTGGTCCCATATGCCCAATTTCAAACCTGGGCCCTGCAGAAGGAGACCTTATGCAGGTGGGACAGATCTCCAACGTTTTTGGACAATCAAATTCACGTGGGACACGTGAACAAGGCCTCTATTCTTCTTTTGGGTCGGGAAGTAATTTCTCCCTCTCCGTTGGACGGTGGTCACGACGAATGTCAGCCTGGCTGGGGAGGGGTTTTATGTCAATCACCAAGGAGGGACAAGGAGTTCAGCAGCGGTCAAGGCGGTCTCTCACATTCTTCAGTGGGCGGAACTTCATGTTCCGGCTCTCTCTGCTGTCTACATTCCGGGCGTAGAAAACTGGCAGGCGGACTATCTCAGCCGCCAAATGCTGGATCAGGGAAAATGATCTCTGCACCCAGAGGTGTTTGGCACATTTGCCTGCAGTGGGGCACACCAGACATGGATCTGCTGGCCTCCTGTCTCAATCGGAAGGTGCTGAGATTCGTGGCAAGAGCGAAGGATCCCTTGGTGGATGTGTCAGATGCTCTGGTGGTGCCATGGAGTCATTATCGCCTGATTTATGCCTTTCCCCCTCAAGCTATTCCCTCGTCTACTATGCAAGATAGAGGCCGAGGGGATTCCGGTTATTCAAATAGCTCCACATTGGCCTCAGCGACCCTGGTATGCTGACGTGGTGCTGCTGGTTGCAGACGTCCCTGGCGACTTCTGTTGTGCGAGGATCTCCTGTCCCAAGGGCCGATATTCCACCCTGCTTTACCATCTCTGGCTTTGACGGCTTGCCTATTGAAAGCCAGGTGCTGAAGGACACTATGTTGAAGGCGCGCAAGTCTACTTCCCAGAGGATATATCATCGCACCTGGAAGGCTTACAATTTTTATTGTGAGGCTATGGTATGGCATCCACGCTCTTTTTCTATTTCTCAAATTATGGCTTTTCTACAACTAGGGTGTTGATCAGAAGCTAGCCTTGAGCACTATTAAGGGCCAAGTGTCATCTCTGGCAATCATTTTTCAATGCCCCTTGGCTATGCACTCTTTGGATTGTACCTTTTTTATTCAGGAGGTTTGGCATGTTGCCCGCCGTCTGTGCCATGGAACCTGAACCTGGTTCTTTCGGTCCTTCAAAAAACCACCATTTGAGAACATTAGGGATCTCTCCTTGCTCATGCTCTCTCAGAAGGTTGCTTTCACCTTCACTCGGCAGGGTATCTGAGCTGGCAGCCTTGTCTTGTAAGTCTTCCTATCTGGTTCTCCATTTGGATAAGGTGGTTCTTCATCTGCCTCCCTCCTTTCTTCCGAAGGTGGTGTCTGCCTTTCACATTGTCCTTACTTCCTTGTGTTCGTGGCTATTTCATCCTAAGGAGTTTGCACTGCACCCGTTAGACATGGTCCGGGCCATCCATGTGTACCTCTGTTACGGCCCCCTTTCAGAGGCCAAATTCGCTCTGATTGTGTAAGGTCCGTGTAAGGGTCTGGAGGCTTCTTCGGCCACTATTTTTCCTTGGATCAGGCAAACTGTTGTCCAGGCTTATGCAATTATGGGTCGGGTGCCTCCCTTCCCCGTCACGGCACACTCTACCAGGGCGATTAGTGCTTCCTGAGCATTCCCTCATCAGGCGTCCGTGTCTCAAAGTTTATAAGGCGGCTACCTGGTCGTCTATGCACACTTTTAACCAAGTTTTACAAAGTTGATGTTTTGGCCGCAAGGTTTAGCAGGCTTTTGTCTGAGGTTTTCTGGAGCCTCTTGCTTGGGGGTTCCTTTGGGTGGTTGTGTGTTTTCTTCTTCTTATTGAGCTCCCACCCTTTGTTATGGCACTGCTTTGGTACATCCCTACGGTCAAGATTTATGAAGGCTGTGTCTGTCAATGAAAGAAAAAGAAACTGGATTTTTTTGTTACCATAAAATCCCTTTCTCTGAGTTCATTGACAGACACAGCACCCACCCCTCCTTTTTTATTGTACTGCTTTGTAACAAACTGAGCTGCCTATATCAGAGTGGGGGTTTACTACCAGTTAGTACTGTCCATAGGTGGTGCTGTGCTTGTTTGTTTGTTTTTTGTTTGTTTTTTTTTCCCTGCCTATTCCTTATGAAGATGGTGATATAACTTTGCGGTCAAGATTATGAAGGCTGTGTCTGTCAATGAAATCAGAGAAAGGGATTCTACGGTAACAAAAAAATCCCGTTATTAAGGTATGTTACACCTGTCCCTTTTTAGCATGGATTTTAATGCCCTGGAGAAAGCAGTGAGGAAAGTGATTGGGTGAAAAATGAAGAGACTAGTGTACAGCCAGTGGTTGTTCAAAAGTGATCTAACAAGTGACATATCTTCTGGACTACTTCAACACACCTGCTGAGACATCTAGTACATTCTGTACACTCTCATATCTCAAGCACTCAAAAAATGGTTGTCAGTGTACGTGAGCACTGCACAAACTTTGCTACTTTAAAATTGCTCTATAGAAGTTCCTTTGCAGTGCTTCTTGAGGCTAACCATTATTTGTATGAGTCCTAAAGCTGGTTATATACTTGGCTATTTCGTAGAGCAATTAAACTCTTCAGTTATATTGTCCAGTTGAAGCCACCAGACATAGTATTATGGTTTCGAACCCCCCCCCCCCCCCCCCCCACCCCCCCCCCCCCTCTGAACTTGATTGCATTGCAGCAGTTTTTTCCATATGCAGTTCAATCTTTTAATAAACTGTATAGAAGCTGTCATTTTATGACATGAATATTGTTCTTTTGCTGAATCTATAATTCTTTACCTATCAACATCACTACTATGCTGATCTCTCTGCAGCACCCTACAGATGTGGATTATAGGGTTATGGCCACATTTACAGAGTTTTATACGACCCTCTTGGGATTTGTCAACTTTCGCCTCTATCAGACTCTTAATCTGCAATATCCCCCCAAGGTAAGAGAATAAAGATGTTGTGTCTTGCTGGATGTTTGTGATAATAAATTCACAATTCGTACGTGTTGATGATTTTTGTGCTCACAGCTGTTAAGGGTCCTTCAACAAGGGTATCATCCCTGATGAATACAGATTCATTTTACATAATTTTGCACATCCGTCTTCAGTTCAGTTTACATTAGTTTGCACTTTAGTTCAGTTTACATCCACTTTTGCATCTGTATTTTTTAGTTGTTGCAAAAACCATTTGTAAGTGACAAAAGTATAAACAAAAAATGTTTCTTGCCTGAAAACAGAAATAAACAAAATAGACGGAAAAGAACAGACCTGAAAGGACACAGATATGGGCAGATGTAAACAGATGAACATCTGTTTACATCTGCTTGCACATAGACATGCATTGTGGTCCAGTCTGGATTTATCTGAAAAACTGAGAGACAGATCTAGACTGAATGCCAGTGTGGAAGGACCCTTAAAGTGATACTAAAGGATACATTTTTTTTTTTTTTTTTTTTTTAATTTTCCTGCTAAGGTGAAGTCTTACTGGACATTCTGCCCCTTGTTTTGACATTTTCCTTTCTTGCTGCATTAACTGGTCACCCCAGCACTGGTTGTGATATCCAAATTCAAGGTGTCTCCTTCCTTTCTCACCCTTGTGTGTGAGTTACTTGCCAGGACTAGTGGAGTAGACCTGCATCTATTCAAACACAATCCATGCATGCAACTCTGCTCCTCCCTTAACCAGGCTGATTGGCTGTTGGTGCAACTGCTGTTCCCTTTGACCTAAGTGAGCGCACACTGTCACTTAAAAGAAAATTGGGGAAGCTGCGCAGAAGGATCCAGAGCCTGCAGGGTGAATAGGGAGACAGGGTAAGTATTTTGTGCACACATGCTATGCATGTTAAGTAGTGGGGGATGTTTACCACACTGCTTAGTATGCATGGATTAAAAAATAAAATAACCTTTTAGTTCCACTTTTAACAATACCCCTAACTTAAAAAAGGTAGGTTGATTGATGTAAGGACTAAAATACACATTTTCTTCTTTTCTTCATGTGTTCTTGCCCTTTTTAACATTGTAGTACTTCCTGTGTTCCATCAGCTAGATTCTCGTTCAGAAGCTGATCTGAAAATGAATGATGAAGACAAATATGCTCTGGGATCTGAAGCCTATATGGAGGTATGTTGCTGGGGAAAAGTAAAACTGACAATATACCTAAGCATGTTTTATGTTTTATGAACTGGTGCTCATCCTGATGTGCTTGTACTTCTGTTCTTGTCCCTCATTGTTTCCTTCATCTGCTCTCACCCAGTTGCCAAGCATCTATTTCAGCCTGCCTGACATTCAACCTCACTAAGTATGCTTCCTCTTTCAGAAATTGGCAGCTCTCAGTGCCAGTCTGTCCCGAGTGATTCCGTCTGAACCTGAAGATCCAGAAGCAGAGCTTGATGAATTTCCCACAGATCCAGTGAGTAAGCATTTGTGGTAGCTAGTTATTTCACCATTGTGAGTGCTTAGCCAGGTGCTGCCAAGGAAATTCATTGTGCATGAAATGCATTTAATCATCATTTAAAATATTAGGTTATACCCATTTTTTATAAGCACCAACTGTATCTGAAGGTAAAAAAAATATATATTTTAGTAGGGTTCAAAAGAAAACTTGCTATAACTACATTTTGTAAATAGAACAAACAGTAAAGTAATATGTAAAAACATATTGCTGTATTTAAATATACTGATTGTTTAGGATTGCCTTCCTGATCACACCTGTAGATCCATTTGGTTGAAGTGACAAATCAAAATCTTACTGTGCAAACAAGCTTTAAAACCTCTGCTAAGCATATTTCACACTCGAAGTGATAACATAATTACAGTTCTGTTTCATAAAACTAAGCTTTTCTGTGGCAAAAAAAAGCTGGACCAAGTAACTTTGTAAAAATATACTACATCTAGCACTCTTCTTTAAATAACACCTGTACTGAGGAAATATCCAGGCTGCCTTTTTTTTAATTTTTATTCTGTAGAGGCACTTTCCCTTGCAGATATGTAGTGTCTTCGTATTTTGATTTGTTGACCTCCAACAAACTAAGCAGATTAGGAGTTCTGACTTGGCTGCTGCATGCTTGTTCCATGTTCCAGGCATCAGAAATGATGCCAGTCAGGCATCTTGCATTTTCAGAAATAACTCCGCAATGGCAGCTCCCATATTTCTTAAAATACTGATTTTCTTGATGAACTGTCTTATGTGATGTATTGAGACGGTTATACAGCATGTTAGGATTTCTCATTATGAACTCTGGTGCAGGAGAATGGCAGCCTTCAGGAGGAGCAGAAAAAGCTTCAGCAAGAAGAAGAGAAGCACAAGTCTTTATTCGTGGGTCTTAAATTCTTCTTAAACCGGGAGGTACCTAGAGAAGCACTGGCGTTTGTCATTCGGTGAGTCAGAAAGGAGTCCTGATTTTAGAATTTTGTAATGAATGCGTAGGATAAGACTTTAGAATCAAAATATCTAGAGGAAGAACGTTATTTTTCTGCATAGAAGATGAGGAACATTATTAGGCTATTCTTGCTGTTAAATGGGAAACTGCAAGTTATGTTAAAGTTTAACTCCAAGGCAATTTTTTTTTTCTTTTAGAACAACCATCAGGTTTTTATTGCTGTTTGTACCCCTGTTAGAGATTCACCCTCTCCATTTGTCCTGTGTACTATTACCATCAAAAGTGACAACAAAATAATATCCCAAGTTTTGGGTTGATCCCAGAGCAGTAATGTAGGGGAAATCTTTCAGTAAGGACACTGGTTCTGTTGACCCTGGTGATAACCCAGGATTTCTTCTCACTTCCTTTTTTGGCTATGGGATGGGAAGTGAAGGGAAATTTCCCTTATGGGACACAACTGCCAAAAAAAAAAGTTTTGCCTTTAGATCTACCTTAATGAACATCATTGTTGTCTTTATATTTCTGAGCAGACTGTTGTGACGTTTTTGTTTTGTATGCATTGTGTCTCAACAGGAGTTTTGGGGGGCGAAGTGTCATGGGATAGCACACTCTACATTGGGGCAACATATGACAGCTCTGAGCCTACCATCACACATCATATTGTCGACCGCCCCAAATGTGCAGACTCAGATCATTAACAGGTAACCAGATTGAATTTTCAGATATAGCCTCCATCTTGTTTATTTTAAAAAGTTAAAACTGGATTTATGGCCCCCAGAAGTTTTGTCATAATGTGTAAGTATACACAGCTCACTAGGATTTTTTCAAACTGTTCTGCTGTAAATGCAATTTCTCTAAGTATTTTGCTCCTGTTCACTGCTCCAGGCTTGTTGGGGTATAAACATTGCCGGTAGGTGATTGGATACTAAGGAAGCTGCTCCTTCCATGTGGGCTTTGCTTACCTGGCAGATCACATTATTCTCTTGTTTGAATTATAGCTAGTCTGACTATGCTGAATTATTATTAGATTAGTCTGACTATGCTCAAAACGTTTCCCACACAGGTTCAATTTAAAAGCGAACTCCAAAAACTCAGCAACGTGTCACACCCATATTTAGAGCCCATTGTATGGGCTCTCCAACACACGCACACGCACCCACCCATACCCACCCTTCCATACAGATGAGGGTTACAAAAATGGCAGACTGTCCTTTAGTCAACAAATTGTTTAATCTAAACTTTCTGGTTGTAGTGCAGTCCGAGCTAATAGATTAATACCAGTATCACATCTATGTTTCATGTTCATTTTATTTTTAATTTTTTTCCAATGTTAAAGTAGATGCAAAACTTAACTGGGTGGCGTTTTAATTTGTTAAAGTTATGTATATCTTATATAATTGCCTCTTTGCAACCACTTTGTCTACATTCATGTTCACCACAACAGTGGACCGACATGCCTGTGTGATGTGGTTGGGACTGCCAATTGTAGCCTGCATTGTGGAAACCCCTTTAACAGGGTGACAACACAGAAGCATAATTAGGAGACAGGGACCAAGCTTTATAACCCTATAACAAGAAATGCCTAACCAAGGATCTTCCTGGCAGGATAACCATATATACATATATATATATATATATATATATATATATATATATATATATATATATATAAATATATATATGTGTATATATATATATTTCCATACTTGAACCACTTTAAGTCTGCCCTATACCATATTTACTGGTACAGGGCGGACGTTTTGTGCAAAATATGTATATAAACGTGACTTTGCACTACCGTCACAGGGGGCATTGCTGGAGCGCCGTTTCTGCTGTGATTTGGACACAGCAAAAGGTGATAAACAGGTGCCGGCCAATGGATGAGCGCTGCCACCCATTGATCGCCAAGGAGACTGATAGAATACAGCTCTGCCTTTGTAAACAAGGCAGAGCTGTGTTCTGTCAGCAGTGATCTTGTAGATTTTATTCAGGGAATAAAATCTAGCAGATTGCCTGGTAAAAACCGCACATAGTAGACATATAAACACTGGCTAGGCACACAATTAACCCTATGTTCGCCCTAGATGTTCAACTCCTTCCATGCCAGTGTCACAGTGTCAGTTCATATTTTTAGCACTGATCACTGTATTAGTGTCACTGGTTCCCACAAATTGTCAGTGTCAGACTGTCCGCTGCAATATCGCAGTCCCGCTATAAGTTGCTGATTGCCACCATTACTAGTAAAAAAAAAAAAAAAAAAATTGTGTGTGTATTTCAGAACTTTTTCCACCTTTTTAATGTGACCTATAAACTGTACAACTCAATTAAAAAACGAACTGGAATCTTTTAGGGGGGAAAGTAAGCATAAAAAAACTAAAATAATGTGGTTGCATAAGTGTGCGCACCCTCTTATAACTGGGGATGTAGCTATGTTAAGAATTAAGCAATCACATTCAAAATCATGTTAAATAGGAGTCAGTACACACCTGCCATCATTTAAAAGTGCCTCTGATTAACCCCAAATATAGTTCAGCTGTTCTAGTAGGTCTTTCCTGACATTTACTTAGTTGCATCCTACAGCAAAAGCCATGATCCGCAGAGCATCAGAGGGATTTCCTTGTTAAAAGGTATCAGTAAGGAGAGGGGTACAAAAGAATTTCCAAGGCATTAGAAATACCAGGGAGCACAGTGAAGACAGTTATAATCAATTGGAGAAAATATAGCGCAACAGTGACATTACCAAGAACTGGACGTCCCTCCAAAATTGATGAAAAAGGTAGAGGGAATTATGAGCAGTTCCAACTACCAGTCAATATTGGCTCAAAACCTTCAGGATTCTCCTAGAAAGCTGAACATGAAGAGGAACTCCATCTTTCAGCATGACAACGACCCAAAGCATACATCCAAATCAACAAAGGAATGGCTTCACCAGAAGAAAAGTTTTGGAATTGCGCAGACAGAGCCCAGACCTGAATATGATTGAAAATCTGTGGGGTGATCTGAACAGGGCTGTGCACAGGAGATGCCCTCGCGCAATCTGACATATTTGTAGTGTTTGCAAGGAAGAGTGGACAAATATTGCCAAGTCAAGATGTGCCATGCTGATACTCATATCCAAAAAGACTTGAGTGCTGGAATCAAGTCAAAAGGTGCTTCAACAAGGTATTATCTTAAGGGTGTGCACACTTATGCAACCATATTATTTTAGTTTTTTATTTTTACTGCCCTCCTCCTAAGATTTCAGTTTGTTGTTCAAATCAGTTGTACAGTTTCTAGGTCACATTAAAGGTGGAAAGAGTTCTGAAATAATTTCTTTGCCTCATATTTACATCACAGAAACCTGACATTTTAATGGGTGTGTAGACTTTCTATAGTGTGTGTGTATGTACAGTTGTGACCAAAATTATTCAACCCCCACTGAAATTGAGTGTTTTGGCCAGTTTGACATTGCTTTTGATCATTCAGTCATCTTGCTTACATTTACATTAAAGAGGCACTTGTAGGTCAGACAAATATAACATAACAGTTATAATGAAATAACACAAAATGTCTTTTCTGTGCTCACAGCATTATCAGTTTTATTCAACCCCCAAGTGACATTCAATCTTAGTACTTAGTACAGCATCCTTTTACAGTTATAACAGCTTTTAAACGTGAAGCATAGCTTGACACAAGTGTCTTGCAGCGATCTACGGGTATCTTCGCCCATTCTTCATGGGCAAAGGCCTCCAGTTCAGTCACATTCTTAGGCTTGCGCACTGCAACTGCTTTCTTTAAGTCCCACCAGAGGTTCTCAATCGGATTTAAGTCTGGTGACTGCGATGGCCACTCCAAAATGTTCCAGCCTTTTCCTCTGCAACCATGCTCTAGTGGACTTGGAGGTATGCTTGGGATCATTGTCCTTTGAAAGGTCCAACGTCTCTCCAAGCCTCAGGTGTGTGACGGACTGCATCACGTTTCCATCCAATATCTCCTGGTACTGAAGAGAATTCATGGTACCTTGCACACGCTGAAGCTTCCCTGTACCTGCAGAAGCAAAACAGCCCCAAAGCATGATTGACCCTCCACCATGCTTCACAGTAGGCAAGGTGTTCTTTTCATCATAGGCCTTGTTCTTCCTCTCTCCAAACATAGCGTTGATCCATGGCCCAAACAGTTCTAATTTTGTTTCATCAGTCCACAGAACACTATCCCACAACTTTTGTGGTTGTCCACATGGCTTTTGGCATACTGCAGTCGACTCTTCTTATTCTTTGGAGACAGCAAGGGGGTACGCCTGGGAGTTCTGGCACGGAGGCCTTCATTACGCAGTGTGCGTCTTATTGTCTGGGCTGAAACTTCTGTACCCACATCTGACAAATCTTTTCTCAGTTCCTCAGCAGTCACACGGGGACTTCTCTCCACTCTACGCTTCAGGTAGCGCACAGCAGTCGAAGTCAGCATCTTCTTTCTGCCACGACCAGGTAGCGTTTCAACAGTGCCCTTTGCCTTGAATTTTGCGAATGATGCTTCCTAAGGTGTCTCTTGGTATGTTTAAACATCTTTGCAATCTTCTTATAGCCATTGCCCTTCCTGTGAAGAGAAATCACCTCTTCTCTGTCTTCCTGGACCATTCTCTTGCCTTCACCATGTTTGTAACCACACCAGTAAATGTCTAGAAGGAGCTGAGTATCACAGTCATTTTAAAGCTGCCTAATTGGTGCTTATTATGCTTGATTGCTGCTCGGTGACATCCACAGGTGTTTTCAATACCTGATGGAAAGCACCTGTATGAACCTCTGTTCTTCAGAGTGGTAGTCTTTAAGGGGTTGAATAATTGTGGCAATGAAGAAACCACATAAGAACCATTTACTACTGTATTACATAAACAATTGATGTCATTTTAGTTGCATTTGGGTAGTTACAACGTCCTTGTAGGATTTGATTCTGAATACAATTCCAAATGTACACTATAGTCCCTAAACCCCTTTACAGCATTGGGGGTTGAATAATTTTGGTCACAACTGTATGTGTGTATATATACAGTCAGGTCCATAAATATTGGGACATCGACACAATTCTAATATTTTTGGCTCTATACACCACCACCACAATGGATTTGAAATGAAACAAACAAGATGTGCTTTAACTGCAGACTGTCAGCTTTATTTGACGGTATTTACATCAAAATCAGGTGAACGGTGTAGGAATTACAACAGTTTGCATATGTGCCTCCCACTTGTTAAGGGACCAAAAGTAATGGGATAGAATAATATTCATAAATCAATCTTTTATTTTTAATACTTGGTTACAAATCCTTTGCAGTCAATTACAGCCTGAAGTCTGGAACGCTTAGACATCCCCAAACGCTTGGTTTCATCCCTGGTGATGCTTTTCCAGGCCTCTACTTCAACTGTCTTCAGTTCCTGCTTGTTCTTGGGGCATTTTCCCTTCAGTTTTGTCTTCAGCAAGTGAAATGCATGCTCAATCGGATTCACGTCAGGTGATTGACTTGGCCATTGCATAACATTCCACTTCTTTCCCTTAAAAAACTCTTTGGTTGCTTTTGCAGTTTCCTTTGGGTCATTGTCCATCTGTACTGTAAAGCGGCGTCCAATGAGTTGTGAAGCATTTGGCTGAATATGAGCAGATAATATTGCCGGAAACACTTCAGAATTGATCCTGCTGCTTTTGTCAGCAGTCACATCATCAATAAATACAAGAGAACCAGTTCCATTGGCAGCCATACATGCCCACGCCATGACACTACCACCACCATGCTTCACTGATGAGGTGGTATGCTTAGGATCATGAGCAGTTCCTTTCCTTCTCCATACTCTTCTCTTCCCATCACTCTGGTACAAGTTGATCTTGGTCTCATCTGTCCATAGGATGTTGTTCCAGAACTGTGAAGGCTTTTTTAGATGTCGTTTGACAAACTCTAATCTGGCCTTCCTGTTTTTGAGGCTCACCAATGGTTTACATCTTGTGGTGAACCCTCTGTATTCACTCTGGTGAAGTCTTCTCTTGATTGTTGACTTTGACACACATACACCTACCTCCTGGAGAGTGTTCTTGATCTGGCCAACTGTTGTGAAGGGTGTTTTCTTCACCAGGGAAAGAATTCTTCGGTCATCCACCACAGTTGTTTTCCGTGGTCTTCCGGGTCTTTTGGTGTTGCTGAGCTCACCAGTGCGTTCCTTCTTTTTAAGAATGTTCCAAACAGTTGTTTTGGCCACGCCTAATGTTTTTGCTATCTCTCTGATGGGTTTGTTTTGTTTTTTCAGCCTAATGATGGCTTGGTTCACTGATAGTGACAGCTCTTTGGATCTCATCTTGAGAGTTGACAGCAACAGATTCCAAATGCAAATAGCACACTTGAAATGAACTCTGGACCTTTTATCTGCTCATTGTAATTGGGATAATGAGGGAATAACACACACCTGGCCATGGGACAGCTGAGAAGCCAATTGTCCCATTACTTTTGGTCCCTTAACAAGTGGGAGGCACATATGCAAACTGTTGTAATTCCTACACCGTTCACCTGATTTGGATGTAAATACCCTCAAAGTAAAGCTGCCAATCTGCAGTTAAAGCACATCTTGTTTGTTTCATTTCAAATCGATTGTGGTGGTGTATAGAGCCAAAAATGTTAGAATTGTGTCGATGTCCCAATATTTATGGACCTGACTGTGTGTGTGTATGTATATGTGTGTGTGTGTGTGTGTGTGTGTGTGTGTGTGTGTGTGTGTGTGTGTGTATGTATATATATATATATATATACAGTCAGGTCCATAAATATTGGGACATCGACACAATTCTAACATTTTTGGCTCTATACACCACCACAATGGATTTGAAATGAAATGAACAACATGTGCTTTAACTGCAGATTGGCAGCTTTACTTTGAGGGTATTTACATCCAAATCAGGTGAACGGTGTAGGAATTACAACAGTTTGCATATGTTCCTCCCACTTGTTCAGGGACCAAAAGTAATGGGACAATTGGCTTCTCAGCTGTCCCATGGCCAGGTGTGTGTTATTCCCTCATTATCCCAATTACAATGAGCAGATAAAAAGGTCCAGAGTTCATTTCAAGTGTGCTATTTGCATTTGGAATCTGTTACGGTCAACTCTCAAGATGAGATCCAAAGAGCTGTCACTATCAGTGAAGCAAGTCATCATTAGGCTGAAAAAACAAAACAAACCCATCAGAGAGATAGCAAAAACATTAGGCGTGGCCAAAACAACTGTTTGGAACATTCTTAAAAAGAAGGAACGCACCGGTGAGCTTAGCAACACCAAAAGACCCGGAAGACCACGGAAAACAACTGTGGTGGATGACCGATGAATTCTTTCCCTGGTGAAGAAAACACCCTTCACAACAGTTGGCCAGATCAAGAACACTCTCCAGGAGGTAGGTGTATGTGTGTCAAAGTCACCAATCAAGAGAAGACTTCACCAGAGTGAATACAGAGAGTTCACCACAAGATGTAAACCATTGGTGAGCCTCAAAAACAGGAAGGCCAGATTAGAGTTTGCCAAACGACATCTAAAAAAGCCTTCACAGTTCTGGAACAACATCCTATGGACAGATGAGACCAAGATCAACTTGTACCAGAGTGATGGGAAGAGAAGAGTATGGAGAAGGAAAGGAACTGCTCATGATCCTAAGCATACCACCTCATCATTGAAGCATGGTGGTGGTAGTGTCATGGCGTGGGCATGTATGGCTGCCAATGGAACTGGTTCTCTTGTATTTATTGATGATGTGACTGCTGACAAAAGCAGCAGGATCAATTCTGAAGTGTTTTGGGCAATATTATCTGCTCATATTCAGCCAAATGCTTCACAACTCATTGGACGCCGCTTCACAGTGCAGATGGACAATGACACAAAGCATACTGCAAAAGCAACCAAAGAGTTTTTTAAGGGAAAGAAGTGGAATGTTATGCAATGGCCAAGTCAATCACCTGACGTGAATCCGAATGAGCGTGCATTTCACTTGCTGAAGACAAAACTGAAGGGAAAATGCCCCAAGAACAAGCAGGAAACTGAAGACAGTTGCAGTAGAGGCCTGGCAGAGCATCACCGGGGATGAAACCCAGCATCTGGTGATGTCTATGCGTTCCAGACTTCAGATTGTAATTGACTGCAAAGGATTTGCAACCAAGTATTAAAAAGTGAAAGTTTGATTTATGATTAATATTCTGTCCCATTACTTTTGGTCCCTTAACAAGCGGGAGGCACATATGCAAACTGTTGTAATTCCTACACCGTTCACCTGATTTGGATGTAAATACCCTCAAATTAAAGCTGTCAGTCTGCAGTTAAAGCACATCTTGTTCGTTTCATTTCAAATCCATTGTGGTGGTGTATAGAGCCAAAATGTTAGAATTGTGTTGATGTCCCAATATTTTATGGACCTGACTATATATATATATGTGTGTGTGTGTGTGTGTGTGTGTGTGTGTGTGTGTGTGTGTGTATATATATGTGTGTGTATATATATATATGTGTATGTGTGTGTATATATGTGTGTGTGTGTGTGTGTGTGTGTGTGTGTGTGTGTATATATATATATATGTGTGTGTGTGTGTGTGTATACACACGATCATTTGTAGACGTTATAACGTTTGCGCAAACCGATCAATATACGCTTATTGGGAAAATTTTTTTTACAAAAATATGCAGTAGAATACATTTTGACCTTTTAATTTTATTTAAAAAATTAGATTTTTTAAATTTTATAGTGGATATGTTTTTTAGCAGAAGGCAATTTTTTTTTTTTTTTTTTTTTTAATGTCGATTGTTTTTTTTATTTATAGTGCAAAAAATAAAAAACCCTGAGGTGATCAAACACAACTGAAAAAAAGCTCTATTTGTGTGGAAAAAGTGTAACTCATGTATAGCGTTGCAAGACCGCACAATTGTCAGTAAAAGTAACACAGTGCTGTATCGCAAAATATGGCCTGGCCATGAAGGGGGTAAATCTTCCTGAGGTCACATGGTTAAAACATTGAAAATAACTTTTGAAATTACATTGACTTTTTATGATTGGGGTTAAATTTAAATTTTTTACCTGTGACATGTCTCTTTTGTTAAGCAGGAGCATAAAAGAGCTCTACAAGATCTCCAAGACCATTGTAGTTGCATCTTAATTACTAGCGTGGGTTGCATCTTCCAGTTTTTAGTATAGATTGCAAAATAAATTTCAAAGCCTAAAGAACAAGTAGTCTGTTTATCTTACAGATTCTTTTGTAATTATCGGGTGATTTTAAATTTTTTTCCCACTTCCCTATTGGGACTGTATCTGTATGTTACCATAGGTTTACTTTGTTTCCCCATGAGAGAGTAACTTTAATTTTGTTTCTTCTTTTGAAATGGCATGATGTCATGATTCTTTTCATTGACTTCTTTCTAACTTGAAGGTGGGGGGTGGAGAAATATTGTGCTGTCCTACACGGACGGCCTATACCCCATAAAATCTGTTGCATTCTTTTGTAAACTTCGTACAAAAATGACCTTTTTATATCTGTTGTATATTCCAGCATGACAGAGACGTTAGTATTCTACTTATACACTATTGAATATAGTCCACTTTCCTCTGCAGGTATTATGTTCAGCCACAGTGGGTGTTTGATTCTGTAAATGCCTGTCTACGTTTGCCTGTGGAAGACTACTTTCCAGGGGTGTTGCTACCTCCCCACCTTTCACCATTTGTGGAGGAGAAGGAAGGGGATTACATTCCACCAGAGAAGCAGCGTCTTCTGGCACTGCAGAGAGGAGAGACACTTGGTAACTATTTAACAAATAATGATGAAAGAAAAAAGAATATTAGAGTAAATGCATGATTAACAGTTTAGTCTGTTGTTTCATACAAGTACAAGAGCTAAAAGCTATATAAAGGGGCTTACCGCCTTCAGCAGTGGGCTTCTAAGAGCTGAGCTGCATCTTGTCAAATTATATACTTAGCCCATAAATGGTTATATTTTCACTTAGAGTGCTGTGAAATTGGAAATTTCTATTGCAGAAATAGATATGTACGGAATAGAAATAGTCCGACACCATTACTGGATGATGTACTAGGTTTAATATCTGCACAACCCTCCTAACTGCAATTTAAAGACCTTTATATACAGTTCACTCAATTGTATGTTATATGGAATACATTGTTTTGCCACTCCTATTCAATAGATATTCATGTCTTGCTTGGATTGAGATGGATGTCTGTATTCTGATAAGAACTTTTTACCTAACAGATGAGGAGGAGGAAGAAGATGAGGAGGAGGAAGATGATGATGAGGAAGAGGAGGAAGAAGAGGAGAATGAAGAGGAGGATATAGAGAGTGATCAGAAGTTGAGAGAAAGAGAAGATAAACAGTTTAAGGGGAAGGTAGTGTACAACTTGCTCAACCCCTCCCTTTTGACCAGACGTCTTTCTCCGTTTATTTCTATTTCCATTGATTGCATACTTTGTCGTGTCCCCCACAGAAGGTAAATGTAAAGGTAACAGCAGGCACTGTAAAGCTAGAGGACAAAACTCGAGCAGCTGAACAAGAAAAGAATGAGGAAAAGCGTCTGGCTATCATGATGATGAAAAAGAAAGAGAAGTATCTGTACAACAAAATCATATTTGGCAAGAAGCGTAAAGTTAGAGAGGTAAGATTGGATTTCTTTATCAGAATTCTAGAAATAAAAAATGTGATTATAAACGCAAAAGGCAGTTTTAAGATTGTAAAATTTTAGTAACCTTTGTAAAATTCTAGAACTGGAATCCTATGTTAATATAATGTGAGGCAATATCTGTTGCTGCAACTGCTGCATGTGACCTTATACAAAGCCATCATTTGCCTTCTTGATGGACGTGTCTAGGGGATGAATTATCTAAATTCATTCACCCACAGCAATCAAGTAGCTTTTCCCTTTTCAGCACGATTGAAAAAAAAAAACAAAAAAAAAAAACAGATTTTATTTGGAAACTATGGTTCAACACTGAGAAGGTAATGCTTCCTTTTGAGGCTCCATTCACATCTGAACGTAGCATTTTTGGCACGATTTTCGCACATATTTTACTGCAATTTTTGCACATTTTTATACAGTGGTTTTAGCCGTTTTGAGCTTTGGTGGTTTTATTAGCCAATAGAGAAAAATGGGCCGCCAAGTCTCTAACAATCTGAGTAATCAGCTGTGAGTGGGGTTCCCCACTGACAGCTGAATGTAGAAAAAAAAAAAAAAAAAAGCTGGCAATTACAAAATACAAAAAATGCATACCTATACTGGCATCATGATTGACATTGGATCTACTTCGGGGGACATTGTTTTCGTTTTCCTTCTGTTAATAAAGGACTTGTCAAAAGACTGTCTCCTGTCTTTTTTTTTTTTTCTACACACTACAGTTTTTTTTTGTTTTTTTGTCAGTGGGTAGTGGCACCATACTCATTCACATGGGGGGGGGGGGGTGGGATCTGGGGGCCCTTGCTAAAGGTGGGCTTCCATATTCCAATAAGCCCCCACAAACCACAGCCCAGGGTTGTGGGGAAGAGGCCCTTGTCCCCATCAACATGTAAATTCTTTCTTTTACATTCAGCTGTCAGTGGGGAACCCCGCTGACAGCTGAAACATTAATGCATGCTTTTCACTACTAAAATACCGCATGACTTGATAAAATAACTCATGCAGTATTTTAGTAGTGTTTTTTTTTTTTTTTTAGTGAATTCAAACTTTTTTTTTTTTAATTTTAAATGCTATGCGGTATCCGGCCACATACTTGGATGCGGTAAGATACTGCTTAGTGAATTGTGCCCAATATCATCTATTGCATCATTTGTTGCTAGGTTTTGGGAATAAAAACTTGCCAAAAAAATGCAAATCTGCCCAAGTTGAGCTACAAAAGTAGCTCCAAAACTTTTTTGAGCTTCAGGCGTTCTGCTTCAGGCGACTTGGAGTGAATATGTGAACCATCTCCATAGAGTAATATTGTTTTGTTTTTGTTTTTTTCCCCTGAGCGTTTTGGAGCTTCGACCTTCGCGCTCAGGTGTGAATGCAGCCTGACACTCCTAAAAATGCATGGTGTGAAAATCCAAATATCTGAATTATAAATTATTATTTTTATTCCCTAAAGTAAACCTTTCAGTGTGTTTAGAAGTATGCATGAAGATAGATTTCTGACTTCTCACCCCAGTAGTATGATTTTCCAAAGATTTCTCATTGGAAAGCAATCTTAGATCTCAGCTTAGGCAAAGTCATAAGACTGGAGTTCACATTCATCTGTTGCAGGCAGATGAATTGTTCCCTGTCTCATTTTATCTTTTTAGCAGGTTACAAAGTGAGCAGCAGGGGCTGATCTTTGTCAGATGTTTGTGAACACAACCAACCTGATGCACATGCATCAGGATTTACTACGAGAAAAGCGGATAAAGGCATTATTTGATCCTTATTAGATAATAAATACACTTGCATATCACTTAGTATGCATAAACTGTTTTACTATATCTGTCTTTGGGTGGTTTTTTTTTCCTGCAATGGACAATAGAAAAGTCTCTTACACCAATATGTATTAAGACCTACTTTAATCATGTGAGAAATGTAATAATGCAGGGACAAAACTTTATACAATTAGAGCTTGCATGTCATAGTTTATAGTATAACTATAGGCTTTTTTTTTATCTGGATAGAATACTAAGGGGTTAGAACCACTGTCAGGTTTTTAGTGCTGTACTCTCATTATTCATGACACTGGGGAACAAGAAAATGAAAGTGAGAGTAAATCCAAACATTTTAGATTGCCACTAGGGCAGAAGTAGAAAGGAAATCTTTCAATGGAACTTTTGCTCCCAAGACAAGTGTCAAAGGCCTTGTTCATCCAGGCAGTAAAAACAGGAAATTCGGCTGTGTTTTTACTGCCCACCTGACTCCCAATCCAATCCTAACATGTCAGCCGGAGAGGATCGTACACATGGTTGGCATGCTTTGTTATTCGCAGCAGCGAGAAACTTAACTTGCTGCTTATCATACTTGCCCATTGAGTCGATGGGACCGCACTGCAGCTGCGAGCTATAATTGCAGCACTGTAGTTCATTGCAAAATCCCTCTTTGGCCACAAAAAAAAAAAAGCATTCAGAAGGCAGCAGTAACACCACACATATTTTCGCAGAGGCAGAGTGCCATCTGGGTGAACCTAGCCTAAGAGGGGAATCTTGCACTGAAAAGAGATCCTGTCACTTCCTGTTGAGTCTACAGGACAGGGAGGAAAGGGAGATCTTCCTGAAACGCAGATAGCAAACTAGACCGTGGTATTAACCTACTCCTACTCTGTCAAAATGGGGGGGAAAAAAAAAACGTTTTGGCTTTAATTAAGTACTTTAAAATGATTGCCACAGAGAAGTTGTAATACTGATTTCGAAAGCATTGGGTACAGTATATTCCTGATAATTTTCTGTATACTGTTCTAAAGGATTAGACATTTTTGACTGGCTGTGTTTTTTGTTGTTTCTTTGTACAGGCTAATAAGCTGGCAATGAAGAGAAAAGCCCATGATGAAGCTTCCAAAGCTGAACGCAAAACCAAGAAGACAAAAAAGCATTAACGTACACCAGAATAAACACCATCCTTTTTAAAGGGATTTTTTTAAACCCTTTTACAATGTAGTCATAACTACTAACTAATAATATGACAAGGAGAAGATCTTGAGGATCTGCATATTCTGTATATAAAGCATTGAAAGACCCACATGCATTGTAACTTACATCGTTTAGTGGTTGGTAGACCTAATGACTTGCTTAAAGATGATATTTCTTCTAAAATCTGTTATACAGACTGTGTTTTGTAAATAAATGTTCTTGGACACAGCACTCTTTGTTATATTACAGAAATTGGTCATCTCAATAATTCTAGCCCCCTGAGGCAAAACATCAAAACCCCCCTCCTGGTCCAACTACGTTACTTCTAATGTGTGTATTCAATTTGCAGAATGAGAGGTTTAAGGAATGGCGGTGCCAGGAACACATAGCGGAAGATCAGAGTTGACATTAGTATTTTGCAAGAATCCAACGAAGATTTTTAGCATCCCCAGCATCCTTCCAGACATAGCATATCCAGCATTAGATGCAACTTAGCTGGACCAATCGACAGTATACAAATTTTTTAACCTAGGGTTTCCACTTTAATATATTTAGGAGTCGGAAAGCATGGAAGCTGACATTAATCAGTTGAACGCCAGATAGCTCTGTAGTCCATCACTGCAAAATTGTATGTTCCTGCGTGATTTCTTTTGTCTTCGGACCTATGAAGATTTTATAACATTTGCCTGATCTAGCCAAGACATTTGTTCTTACTCTCAGATCAGGGAAAATTTGTAAGCAACTCCATGGCCTTGGTGGCCTTTCTGACCAGTCCTGCTGAGGGAAAATTGTTTGGCTTGGATGGATTTTCCCTTTTGACAGATAGATGCCTGTGGTGCTGCCTCCTCTATGCACTATCTGCAGACTTGTTTGTAAAAAGGCCTTACAGTGACCGGGCCACACATGCATGGCCAGTGGCCAATAATATTAATATTTTAAAGTGGAGTTTCAGTTGAATTAAAAAAAAAAAATCAGCAGCTACAAAACTGTATTTTAAAAGTCAGCAGCTACAGACACTTACCTTTCCCTCGGTCCAGCGGTGACCTCACCACGGCTGGTTTCACCTACCATTTTCTCTCCCCAGCGCTGACATTTTCAGTGTGGGTATCCGGCTGTGACAGCTTGCTGCTTCACAGCCACATGCCCACTGCGCATGCGTGAGTAGTGCGTTTTGTGAATGGTCCTGTAGTCTTCTGGTACCTGTCGCGTGTGTCCAGAAGACTGTGGGGAGGGGAGAGAAGAACTTCTTCCGCTTCCAATAGCCTTAGACGATCGCAGTGGGAGTGGGTACCTGTCAAATTCGGGTACCCGCTCCACAACAGTGCCGATCCTTAACAGAGAGCGGGGGACAAAGGCTTAAAGCGGAACTTCCCTTTTGGGTGGAGCTCCACTTTAAGATCTGCACCTTATACTGTAGTATGTAAAAATAATTATGAAAATGTAAAGCAAGTTTTCTGTTGGTTACATTAAATGTATTTGTAAACTTTCACTAATGCATTTTTTAGGTACATGTATTTCAGTAACATTGTATGCATATGATCTAAAGAAAAGTAGTTTTGCAAGTCTGTGTTCCAGGTTGGACCCAGGCTACCACTGTGGTCCACTACTGCAAAATTATATGTGCCTGTGCACTCCCATTTACAGCACGTTGAATTACATTAAGTACAAAAGAAACAGATATAAATTTTCTATTTATAGCTCTATCAAAAATACAAACTGTTAGTCATGAGATGGGCCATGTAGAAGCAGTTTTATAGAATCATGTCCAAAGGGTAGATTAAAGTCTCTGCTAGGCAGAATTTTGGCAGCATTTAAACCTCTTCAAAATCTTTAATTGAAAAAAATATTTTGTTTTACTGCTTAGGAAATAACTGACTGTTTTGCCACCTTTGTAATAAATGTCTAATTTTAATAAACAGCAACATCGTTTATAATCTATATATTGTGTGTGTGCGTATATATTGTTGCTAGAAAAATACCTAATTGATGTAGCAAGGCTGTAAAAAAACTTAGAAATGAGCTAGTTGGCCTGACATGGGCAGTTCAATGAGGCCTACCTGTCAGTTTTTCAGGTGGATCTGATTGAAAGCTCTATGTCAGTCTGGACAAGCAAATGTAAATGGGCATGTGACCCTTTTCTATCCAATTACCTCAGAGTCTTTCCAGCTCAGGAGAAGAGAAAATACGTCCTTTTCTATTTTTTCAGACATACAAGTGACAGATCAGAGGTAATCAGATGAACAGATAAAAGTCTGTTCATATATCCAATATGAGCCTGGAAAGCACTAGTATTTATACAGTGGGGAAAATAATTATTTGATCCCCTGCAGATTTTGTAAGTTTGCCCACTTACAAAGAAATTAAGGGTCTATAATTTTTATCATAGGTGTATTTTAAATGATAGACACAATATCAATCAAAAATCCAGAAAAAAACACGATACAAATGTTATAAATTGAGTTGTAATTCATTGAGTAAAATAAGTATTTTGATCCCCAAGCAAAACATGACTTAGTACTTGGTGGAGAAACCCTTGTTGACAAGCACAGAGGTAAGACATTTGTTGTAGTTGGTTACTAAGTTTGCACACATCTCAGGAGGGATTTTGGTCCACTCTTCTTTACAGATCTTTTCTAAATCCTTAAGGTTTCTTGGCTGTTGCTTTGCATTCAAAATTTCAGCTCCCTCCATAAATTTACTATAGGATTGAGGCCCACTACATCACCTTGATGTGCTTCTTCTTGAGCCTCTCTTTTGTTGCCTTGGCGGTATATTTTGGGTCATTGTCGTGCTGGAAGACCCATCCATGACCCATCTTCAGTGTTCTGGCTGAGGAAAGAAGGTTCTCATCCAAGATTTTGCAATACATGGCTCTGTCCATTGGCCCCTCAATGTGGCAAAATCGGCCTGTGGCTGTAGCAGAAAAACAGCCCCAAAGCATGTTTCCATTGTTTGAATGTAGGGATGGTGTTCTTAGGGTCATAGTCAGCATTTTTCTCTTCTCCAAACAAAGCGAGTCAAGTTAATGCCAAAGAGCTCAATTTTGGTGTCATCTGACCATGGCACTTTCTCCCAATCCTTCTCATTTAGATGTTCATTGGCAAACTTCAGATGAGCCTGTACATGTGCCTTCGTGAGGAAGGGGACCTTGTGGGCGCTGCAGAATTTCAATTCATGGCGGCGTATTACAATGGTTTGGTGACTGTGGTCCCAACTGCCTTGAGATCGTTCGTTCATTCACAAGCTCCTCCCCTGTAGTTCTGGGCTGTTCCACCACTTTTCTCATGATCAACCCTACCCATGAGGTGAAATCTTGCATGGAGGTCCAGACTGAGGGCGATTGATGGTTATTTTGTATTTCTTCTATTTGCAAATAAACGCTCCAACAGTTGTTTGAAACAAGCTTCTTGCTGATAGTCTTGTAGCCCATTCCAGCCTTGTGCAGGTCTACAATCTTGTCCCTGACGTCTTTTGACAGCTCTTTGGTCTTGAGTAAGAATGAGATTCTGTGCACAGGTAGTTGTCGTTAGGAGCACCTTCTTAAATTGACAGGTCTAATCTGTGTACCACATTAGCACATAGCCAGTCTGTGGGAGCCAGAATTATTGTTGGTTGGTAGGGGATCAAATACTTATTTTATTCATCGAACTGTAACTGTAATTTTATAACATTTGTATCGTGTTTTTCTGGTTATTTGGTTGATAATCTGTCTCTGTCCTTTAACCCCTTGACGCCGACGTAACACAAATATTCAGCCTCACAAAACTGGACTTTTTTCCGTGGGACCGCATATTTGCGTACCTGTCTCTGTGCTGGAAGCGCGCCGCTATCAAAGTGATCAGTCACTGTACAGCCCAGCCCCCTTGTTTTTTTTTCTCTGAATGGATGAGAGAGATACATTGTATCTCTCTAACTCCTGGCATAGAGGGGAAAAAAATGTTTGTAAAAAAAAAAAAAGATAAATATTAAAAAATACCTAGATCTAGTTCAGTGCCAGGGTTAGTTTTTCGATCGGCGTCAAAGGTCAGGATTTAAAAAAAAAAAAAAAAGTGTCCGTGTGTGTTAGGTTAAAAAAAAAAAAGAAAAACAAAATGCGCACTATTGTTTCTGGGCTGTATATAGTATCTAATTCTAATTAAAAGGTATGCGCTAATAACAAACTTATACAAAAGTGTATATCATCATCCAAAAAACATTTGTGTTTTAAATAAATAATTATAGTATCCAAGCATAAATTAGTGTCCAAAAAATATATATTATATCTTCAGTGACTTGAACCAATTGTGAAAAATCCACCACCAAAGGAGATTAAGTGAACTCACCAGAGCTAATGGCTGGTCAGATTATAAACCAGCAACAGCGCTTGTGCTCTGGGAGCAATGAACCCGATGTCCAAATAGATATGGTGATGTTTCAGATACTTCCAGATAATAATCACAGCCAAACAAATGTTTTCTTTGCAGCCCAAGCTCTTATGATGAACTTCTCCGCTCTTTCTCATACCTCCATGAGAGCATGCAGTACACTCGGGGACAAAAAAGAGTACATAATGGTGCAATACGGTTTTTTCATTTATGTCTTTAATAAAAAAAGGTATAAGGAAACTCACAAACAAGGTGTCCAACAGACACCAGCTTCAATCGCAAAAAAGGGTTGAGATACAGTTAACGCTCACCGCGGATCTCTCCCATACAGCACAGAACAGCAAGGCTCTCTAACGTCCACATCGTAGTAGGCTACGCCCAACCGGTTTCGTCACACAGTCGTCATCGAGGGGCGGTACATGTATATAGTATCGCTGCGATCGTCAAGAGCTGTAGAGTTTATTTTTTTGGGGTTGTTTGTTGGTGGTAGATTATGGTAGTAACAAGAAACACAGCAAAATTTAAAAAAAAAAAAATATTTCTTTTTACTATTTTGGGCCATTTTCCTTTGGATAAAAAAATAAATCCATTACCGTTTACCA